GCAGACTGACTTTCAAATCCTCTCTATTTGTGCTTAAAATTAGGCACAGCACTTGGGTTAATCTTGTTGAAGTCTTTCTGTTGACTTGTTGACTATGAACATTTTCATAATTGTGTATGTGGTTTATGTAATCAGGGGAGGTTGTTTGGGGTTTTTTTTCCTTTTATTTATGGCTGTACTTAGCATGTAGAAGGCAGTATGCAGCCAAAGAGCTAATTTAATAACAAATGAAAGTTTAGTTATTCCCTGCTACATTTAATGTAAGTTCTGGTGGCCTTATATTTGCTGGCAAGACTTATTTCTTTATCTCATAATTGCGTTCTTTACTTATTCATGGAAACAGACCTAGCGGGGTGATTCATGAGTACTTTCAATAGTTTCGGTCAAATCAAAATTACGTAAGTATCGGATGTAAAGAATAAGAGAATGTTGAATATCTAAAGACAATGGGAAGCTTAGCTTTAATCAGAATTAGATCCTTAGTAATGGTCTCTCTCTTTTGAAAAGCCTTCCACCTTTGAATCCCTACCATTGTTAGGTGTCAGAGTAACCTTTTAGCTTTAAGACATCAATTTGTATTTGAACACTTTCAGAAGAGGCGTGATCTTACTTGCAGTGTCCTGGGAGCAAAGTACAAATTTAGGAGCTAAGGTTTAGGCCCTTGGATTTGAAAATCTGGTCTCTGTGTGTAGGTCTACAGTGATTGTTTGTGGTTTTTTTTAAAATTCTGCAACATAAAGTGAAGACACAAGATTAAAATTATGCTGCTTTTTGCACTGTAGGGGCAGGTATTGGTTGCTTGCTCCACGTTTCACAGGGTAGCACTGGGGAGGGAGCTTGGTGCCTTGCTTCGGTTCCCTCTTATTCTCTTCCTTCTTTTTAAGTACAAGCACGTAGCTCTGTTAGAAGGGAGAGAAAGAGAGTGGGTGTTATAATAACACGTAGGCTTTGAGACAGGCAGTTCTGAAAGTTACTTAAACAAAACCATTGAGATCATTTTGTCAAGACACTGTCTAGTTCACCAGTGAATGGTACGGAAGAAAAAATTAGATCGCTTATACCTTTCCTTTATTTGCTGCGCGAGTTACTCTCCCTGATTGCTATCTACACCATCACACTTGTGTTCTTTTGCTCTATTTCCTGTGCAAAGTGCAGCAGAGAAATTATAGGTGAACACAGTCATGTTTAGAAACATCAGTTTTTCTTGTCATGTTTTGAGTGCAGAATTCATGCTGAAGCAGAGGAATTAAACAGAGAGTCCTGATGGCAAAGCAGAAGAAAGCCAAGCAGGAGGGCGTGAAGGAGATGCCCCGGTGTCCCTGGGATGTGGAAAGTGAGGTGCTGAGCACAATGGTGTAGTTACCTCTCCTCTTGGGCTGGGTCACTCAATCCTGTTTGATGTAATACAGCTTATGAAAAAGGTACTTTTCAGCCACCTGATAGAGGTGACAGCACTTCTCAACACCACCACTTCACCACCTGAGGAGAAAGGGGAGTTACCACTGAAGGATGAGAAGGGCTTTGTGACTGCAGAGGGAGGTGGGCAGAGTGCATGGGGTGGCAGGGAGAGAAAGAAAAGTGGATCAACTTCATATTTTCTCTTCACATGAGGATGTTTTTACATTCGCTTTGTTCAGTGTCAGCTTGAATGTGGCTACAGGGCCCTGGCAAGTCATCATGCTCCCGAAAGTTTGTCTCCTCTGAAAGGCAGAGGAGCGTTTAGCATTCTGGGACTGGTGCTTTCCGCCGGTTTTGTTGTTGCCTCTGGAAATATTGATGCAGTCGATCTTTGTGCAAGCACGTAGCTGCAGATTAACAAACATGAAATGGAATATCTTCAGCATAAACTGGGAATACATGAGGAAGGCTGATACAAAAGGAAGAAAAAGCTAAAAATAAGTGAAATCAAGTTGTCAGGGATTCCTTTTTTTTCCCAAATATGCTAGAAAGGAAGCTAGGAAGAAAAAGCTAAAAATAAGTGATACCAAGTTGTCAGGGATTCCTTTTTTTTCCCAAATATGCTAGAAATCTGGTTGTTAGCAAACATAAGGTGAATATTTCCATTAATAAAAGGATTTCTAAATTATCCAGGAGTAAAGTAGAGCACAGGACATAAACTGTTGTTAAGCCATGTAAAGCCATTGTCAAGAAAGTACATTTTAAAACCGTGTTCAAAAAGTAAAGCGGTAAAATAGATCATGGAAAATTCTGATCTTGAATTCATAATGAATTTATATTTTTAATTGCTTGATCAGTAGATTAGAGATACATTTTTACTTTCTTTAAGCCACATGACATCGTTCAGCTGTATCGGCTTCCAGTTCAGTAGCACGGTGCAGGCTGGGTATGCTTGTTCCTCTGAGCTGGTTGAAAGCCAGGAATGTCAGTTGTTTCATATTCTGAGGCATCAGGAAGCGGCACATTGTTTGTTTGTTCAATTACTGCAGTATGAAACACCCTTGTCTTTTTGTGTACGTTTGTCTGCTTGGATGTTGGCAATTCCTGGTGCTCTTATCTTCTCCTAGCTCTGTGTGATCTGCCCAGCTCTTCCCGTCGCGCTGGGGTACAGGCACCGGCAGTGTGATCGCTGTGGAGGCGTGATTGTGACGGGATAAAAGCTACAGCGTGTGCATAAAAGGAACCCAATTACTTACGCTCAATTAACGTGGCCATGCTTCAGAGAGATCACCAAACCATGGCTAAAAGCACCCTTTTATATAATCACCTTGTTATTTTCTCTTTGATTTGCCTAAAATTGTTGTTTGTTGTTCTTGAAGTAAAAACAGTTGCACTAGGCTATGAATTGTAAAGAAATCACCATATTGATGATAACTTATTAGCGTAAGCCGCTTGTTTAATTGTGGAGCAACAGGAAGGACAAAACATTGTGATGGAGGGCTGCTCAGCTTTGAATATGTTAAATCCAGTCTAATCTGAATAGGTTTTTGGTGGTAAAGCAATAAATGTAAAGTTCATTTTAAGGCTAAGTGAACAATTACAGCAGAAATATCTTTCTGGATGTACAAGAGGAGCACGAAATCCCCATAACCAGGATTCGAAGCCAGTAGTTCCAGCAAGGGATCCTAATGTCTCTTTTATGGGACTGCAGAACGTGACAAAAGGGTCTCCTAGTCTTCACAGTTAAATTTCCTCTAGTTGGGCTGTGAGAGGAATAGGTCAGGTTCTCCAGAACTTCCACGTTTGCAATGCGTTATATGTGATGTGTAGTCTTTAATCTTTCAGTTTCCAAGGAAATCTCCTGAATATCCATTCACCCTAAATGAGTATACGTGTACATTAAGTTGGCATCAAGCTGGAAATGGGACTTTGAACTTCCAAATGTCTGACATCAGCACGCATCTCAGTGGGGTTATGCTTTGGCATGGAGAAAATGTAACGTCTTTCTTTTCCTACTGGTCACTTTGCATTTTCTTCTGCTGGGCAAGCTTTAGGCATTGCCTGGATTTCCTGTGCATGGAGCAGGAGTTGCACCCTGGATTCATCAGCTCCAGTATCTCTTGTCAGACGCACTCTATGCATTGGCTTTCCTCCCAGCACGGTATAGAAGCCAGATGGTGTTTCTGCAAGAGGACGGTCCTCGTGCCACTCAAAGGGGGCTGTAGGCTTGATGGGTACTGGGAAGTCTGTGCTTTCTCCACTTCGCTTCTTGTCAAGTTGACTGTGAGAAATTTGTCCCTTTATGCGTTGTCTGAAGGCTGTTCTTTACCTAGAAGTGCACGTCAGGCTCTGTTGCCGGTACCTGTACGTGCAGGTAAACCTACTGCGTGGAGTTACTCAGTCATGCTTCCCACCTTTTCAGAGGCATCAGTCCTCTAGTCACGTCGGGTTCTTCCTTTGCTTTGAATGTTGGCAATCGGACAAATACGGTTTTGGCTAACGGGCTAATGAATGAGTTGTAAAAGCTTAAGAAAATGGATTTACATCCATTTAATATTTGGCTTCCTCTGCACTACCGGTGGTGGTAGCTGAGGCAGTTGGCTATGTCTGAGTGGATGTTAGGAAAGAAATTTAAAAAAAAAAAAATAATTAACTATCAGAGTAATTATCTCACTGTTGAGGTAAACAAAGGTGAGTAACATCAGGTATCTATTTAAAAAATAAGCTTGTAAGTATCAATGCCGAAATTCAGTCTATATGTATTTTTTTGTTATAGAAATTGGACTCCGTACAAATATAAGTACTTGCTACAAAATTATTCTGCTGAATAATATTCCAGTTCATTTGCTTTTCATCACACCCCTGAAACTCTGCGTGCATACCTGCTTAAAATCAGCAACAAGTGTAGCTAGTAATGAAATAATTCAAATTTAGTTTATTTTGTTTCATGATGCACAAATAGAAAATCATTTAAGTGTGACTGATTTTATTCATCCACAGTAGTTGCTCATCTGAAATGCTATTGAAGTTCAGTAATTGAAGTCTGAAATACAGTATTTGACAGATGGTGTGGGTGGTTGTGCCATTTCCATGATAAATCTACTTACAAATATAACCATGAGGAAGTTGTCTTCATTCCTTGACTACTGCAACATATAGATGGAAAAAGTGACAAACACGACTTGAAAACAGATTTGTTTCTTGGTTCTTCATTTTCCTGCTACAATGATTTGAATTTTTAAACAAGTGCAAAAGAGAGGTTTCTTTTTACTTTATCTGAAAAGGAGTTGCTATAAATGCTTAAATATTCTTTCAGTAGGTTTTCTTTTCTTACATTTTCTTTGAGGCTTTTCCTATAGTGAATTAGTTTTGTAATGTCTTACAGCATCAGTTAGAAAGCATTGCTCTTTTAGATGAAAACTAAATAGATCTTCACTAAGATACAATTACTGTTAAAAAAAATATTGGAGGTTGGAGAAATGGACAGTCTTGTTGCCCCAGGACTTGCTCTTGAAATTTAGAGATGATAACATGGTATAAATAAAAATATACTGCATTATCCAGTTTTAATATTCTTTTTTATTCTCTTTGTGTTTTAACAGAAATCACTGATGCTGGTACTAGAGGAACCCAAGATACAATTAAGGGTGTGAAAAGAAAAAAGATTGTGACTGAAAACCATCTAAAAAAAATACCAAAATCGCCTTTGAGGAGCCCTGCCGAAACCAAGGTTAAGCAAAATGTAGACCCTTCGCTGCTAAAAGCTCTGCCGGATGCCTCCGAACGCGCCGCGGCACAGGATCACTCACCCGTGCAAAATGGGAATCAGTGCACCAAACAAAACGGGGGGGCGCTCAGCAGCGAGACGAGTGCTGAAACAACCAAATCTGAGACATCCACGCAGACAAAGCTTGCACTGACACATCAGTCCTTAGATTTGGGTAAACAGGCAGCGGAGGATCCTGATGCAAACCAACTGAGCTCACCAGAGAAGAAGTCTCTATCAAACTCCTCATCGAGTAAAACAAAGACTGACAGTAATGAATGTATTAACTTTGCTGATTGCAGTACATCATCCCCATGTACACGTACTGCATTCGATGTCTTACTAAAAGCTATGGAGCCTGAACTGAACACCTTAGCACAAGAGTGCCCCCCTTACGGGATGCAGATAGAGAAACTGAGACCAAATAAAACTGTAAGCACCTCTTCTAGTCTCACCTCCAATACGATGAGCGTCCAAAATCAGTCTGCTTTGTCACAGCGTGAGTTTGCAGCTGGACCTCACTACTACCCGTGTGCGCTAAACAATGTGCATGTAGCAACAACCACCAAAACTGGACAAGCACAAGGCCAGTCAGTTTCTCACTCACAAGACCTTATTACAAAAACCGGTCAACAAAATCACCAGGTTGTTATGTGTCCAAGTTTCACGAGACAGCTGGTGCAGCAGCAGAGTCAAGAAAGCCCCAAGGTGCAGCAGATGTACAGCATAGCAGTAACTTCGTCTGTCGTTCACACCTCATCTTCCACTGTAACTCAGGTTTTTCCGCAAAGCCAGTTGGTAGCTAGTTCGTCTTCGCCTTTGTCAATTAGCACATCGAGTTCAACACACTTGTCTATAGGTCCCATGTATAATTCAGCCCAGATAGCATCAGTTGTAAACCATGGTGTAGAACAAATATGTAACCTCCTGAAAGACCAGAAGCCTAAAAAGCTAGGGAAATACGTCTGTGAGTATTGCAATCGGGCCTGTGCCAAGCCCAGTGTTCTCCAAAAGCACATCCGGTCCCATACTGGAGAGCGACCCTATCCTTGTGTGACGTGTGGGTTTTCGTTTAAAACCAAAAGCAATCTGTACAAGCACAAAAAATCTCATGCACATGCTATCAAACTTGGACTTGTCCTACAACCAGATTCGAGTGGCCTCTTCTTATCTCATGACTCGGACAAAGCACTTAGCATTCATTCAGATGCGGAAGAAAGTGGTGAAAGTGAAGATGAAGGCACTGCTGATGAAAGACAAGATGACCAAGAACTGGAACCTACGCAAATAGTGAAAGTCATTTCGAGTGCAGAAACGTTGCGGAAAGAAAGCCCTATTCCATTAAGCAACCCAGATTGCATCCCAGGTGACTCTTCATTACATGATACAGAACCTCAAGTAAGGGCAGCTTTACCAAAAGTAGTGGTTCATCCTGTAAATGTTTCTCCGTTAAGGGCCGATAGCCCAAAAGTAACAGAGCCAGCACCTGAGCTTGCTGCAGCACAGAGGAAAGGAGATTTTAAAGTGACAACTCTTCAGTCAAATTTAACACATACAGCCTCGTACAAGGAGAATGACATAAAGCAGCACCAGAAAGTAGAAACGGGCCAATTGGAGGAGCAGCTGGGATCTGCAGTCGGGGCAGCGCATGCTCAGCTCCAGAGACAACAGGCAACCGATGGTTCCCAAGATCAGCAAGGAAAATGTCTTTTGAGCCCTAGAAGTTTAGGTAGTACTGATTCTGGTTATTTCTCTCGTTCTGAAAGTGCCGATCAAACGATGAGCCCACCAGCTCCTTTCGTAAGGGCTTTGTTGACCTCTGAGAAAGATCCAAATAAAAACCTGCCCTGTGTGCCACGAGCAAGTGGCGTTGTAGCATCAGTGGTACAAACTGTTTGTGCCGAAAAAAATATGATTCTTTCTGGCCAAATGCGGCCTCCCATGGCAACCAAAACCCTTGAGGAGCGTATCTCAAAGTTAATTTCTGATAATGAAGCTGTTGTGGATGACAAACAGTTGGATAGTGTGAAACCAAGAAGAACATCTCTTTCGAGAAGAGGCAGCATAGATTCACCAAAATCCTACATATTTAAAGACTCTTTCCAGTTTGATTTAAAGCCCATGGGAAGAAGAACTAGCTCAAGTTCTGATATACCAAAGTCTCCTTTCACACCCACTGAGAAATCAAAGCAAGTTTTTCTTCTTTCTGTACCGTCCCTTGACTGTTTACCTATAACACGAAGCAATTCCATGCCTACTACCAGTTACTCAGCAGTACCTCCAAATGTGATACCTTCCTCTCATCCCCTTCGAGGAAGTCAGTCGTTTGATGATAAAATTGGCTCTTTATATGATGATGTTTTTGTATCAGGACCTGCTACTCCACTGAACCAAGGTGGACATCCTCGGACCCTTGTTAGACAGGCAGCAATAGAAGATTCTTCTACGGGTGAAAGCCAAGTTCTTGGACCAGCACGATCTGTAGAAGAAAGTTATCTGGGGTGTAATGTGTCAAATGAATCTTTGTTGCAAAGGAGCAAGTCCCTAGCACAGGGATCAAATTTAGAAAAAACAAAGAAGTCCCCTCAGGTGCGAGGAACAATGTTTGAGTGTGAAACCTGCAGAAACCGATATAGAAAACTGGAAAATTTTGAAAACCACAAGAAATTTTATTGTTCCGAGTTGCATGGACCTAAAACTAAAGCAGCAATCCGAGAGCCTGAGCATAAAACTGTTCCGAACAGTACACAGCCTCAGATTCTACACTACAGAGTTACTACTTCAACTGGCGTCTGGGAGCAGACACCTCAGATAAGAAAAAGAAGAAAAATGAAAAGTGTTGGTGATGATGATGACCCACAGCAAAATGATACGAGCGTACCATCAAAAAACACAGAAGGCCAAAGCAAGCCAGTTAATTCCTCCAGTCTGTCAAAACACAGTGCGACAACAGTGGTAGGATCACAACAGCCAAGCAACCTTCTGCTTCAAAGTTCCCAAATTCAGCTTGTGGCTCGAGGCACAGATCAGACTCCCGAGCCAAAGATGGCTCCGCTCATTGAAAAGCAGGCAAGCTCAGCCGTGCAGGAAAAGGTGGAGTTGAAAAGACAAGGGACTGGCATTTCAGTAATACAGCACACCAATTCCCTGAGCAGAAACAGCTCGTTTGAGAAATCAGAGTCATTTGAACGAGTATCACCAGTTTCTTCTCAAGAGTCCAACAAGGTTGCAAAGCACCGCACTGTGAATACAGTTGTCATCCAAGAGGACAGACATTCTCATGTCAATGCTCCCCAGCATCATCAACCCCTGTCGTCTGAAGCGCTTCGAGGGGAAGTTCAGGGAAGCCAAATGGTTTCCAATGAGAGAAGCGCACCGCTTCAGCCATCGAGGCTTGTTCGCCAGCATAACATCCAGGTTCCTGAAATACTGGTCACAGAAGAACCTGACAGGGAACAGGAGAACCAATGCAGCGATCAGGAAAAGACGGAGAGGTTTAATTGGCCACAGCGCAGCGAAACGCTGTCAAAATTGCCAACAGAAAAGCTTCCACCCAAGAAGAAAAGAATTCGCTTGGCTGAAATGGAGCATTCGTCCGCCGAATCGAGCGTCGACTCCACGCTTTCCAGAAGCCTCAGTCGGGAGAGTAGCTTGTCTCATGCCTCCAGCTTCTCGGCTTCACTCGATAAAGATGAAACTTCGAAGGCTGAGAACCCCCCCAAAGCAGAGCTCGTTAGTAAGTCATCAGAGTTCCTCATGATTCCCGCTGGCTCCCACGCGCTGGCTGTGCCCGGCCCTCATTACCGGGAAATGAGACGTGCCGCCTCAGAGCAGATCAGCTGCACGCAGCCGTCCATGGAGGTTGTGGACTACAGGAGTAAGTCTTTTGACTGTGGAAGCATGTCTCCCTCCAAACCTGCCTCACTCGTAGAGATAGCTGCTCCGAAAGTGTCATCTGCAAATGGAGTTACTGGACATGTGCCTCTACTAGAAAGGAGGAGGGGGCCATTTGTAAGACAGATATCTTTAAATATCGCTCCAGAAAGTCATCAGCCTCAAGTTAAATCGACTTCCTCATTTCAGACGGCTCATGCCGCAGACGTGCCCGCAGTGCCGTCGCACAGGCTGCAGACCTCCGGCACTTCTTCCGTGGAGTTTCCATCAAGCACTCAGCATTCACAGACTCACTCCAGGCCTCCCTCGGCAATGCAGAATTGTAATCCTGTTAGCCTGTCTTCGGTTCAGCAGCCTCTAGATCACGTGTTGAATAATCAAGGACAGCCATCCTCCACACATCAGCCTTCCCAGACGTCTACTAAAACGTCAGCCCACGGGACACAAGCGAGCACATACACACTTTCCGGTCATCCCGATGAAAAGAAGGATTGTTTTGCTCCGAAGTATCAACTTCAAGTAAAAACATTACATATAGGTCAGCCATACTCTTCTAAAATGCTAAAAAATACTTCATCGACTCAGACAGTTCCAGGTCAAGTTGGGGTGGACCAAAATGCATCCTCCTTTGAATTGCAGACTAAACTGTCTGACATGTCTAACCCATACTCCGTGCCTCCTCTAAAGCAGATTGTCCCTAATAACTGCAGCAGTCAGATACATCCGATTCCTCCTTTTGTGGTTCCCGTCCGTATTCACAGCAGCGTGCCCTCCTATGGCTTTGCGACTGTTACACCCCTCCCTCACATTCTAGTGACCCAGGATCAGGTAAATCAATCTGTTTGCAAAACAAATGTCGCGACAGTGCCAACACTTGAAGGCAAAACTCAGCTGCCAAAATCTCACAAAGATCATCAGAGGACTTTGCCAAATTCATTTGAATTTGAAAATTCCCTACCAGAAAGCGGAACCAGAAATTCACCTTTGTCAAGCTCTTTGAATATTATACAGAAAGTGCCAGTTAGTGGACTCTTCCCTCAACAAGAAGCTACAGCTTCAAGTAAACGAATGCTTTCCCCAGCCAACAGTTTGGACATTGCCATGGAAAAACAGCAGAAACGAGTCAAAGATGAGAGTGGAGCTGCCTGCATGACAGATGCCAGACCACTGCATTCACTGAACGTTAGATCTAATGACCCTACCAGTAAGCAAAAGAAACCAGTTTTGGTAAGACAGGTTTGCACCACAGAGCCCCTTGAAAATCACCTCTTAGATCCTGATGGTGTTACACAGCATGAAAAAAGCAGCAAAGCTGGTACTTCAGACCTGCTGTTGCCTGACCGTCATTCCTCTGACACTGGGGCTTCAGAAGCCCTAAAGGAGTCACCAGAATCTGAAGACCTTAAGTCTTCAGCATCGCCAGTGTTTGCAGTTAGAAAACCATCCGAATTGTCTCCCGTGAATAATCAGAGTTCCCTTCTCAAGGCTGTAAGCAGCAGCCAAGAAAGAAGGTCCCCAAGTAACAGTAATGAGAGCAAGCACATCAGTAGCCAGGGCCAAGCAAAGCCTGTAGCTACACTGGCTGCGATGAACGCAGGAGAAATCCAGAGGTTGTCGTTCCCAAGCCTCAAGACCTCAACGAGTTTCACCTGGTGTTATCTCTTGAAGAGAAAACCATTGCACCTGCTGCAAAACGATCAGAAGATCTCAGCCTATTCTACCTGGACCATTAGTCCCAACAATCCCAATCCACTTGGTTTGTCGACAAAGGTAGCTCTCTCCCTCCTCAATTCAAAACAAAAAGTTGAAAAACCTCTGTACACTCAAGCCAGAACTACTCACCCCAGATCCGATGTATTGGTCTATTCAAGCAAGTGGAAGAACAGCTTAACCAAGGTACTTAAGCTATTCTCGATGTTTGCTGATCGTTTACAGAGCGTTTGCTTTGCAAATCATGCTTGTTCATATTTTAGAGAATGTAGAATGCCTGACATGTATAGTCTATGTGCTTATTTGTTTTAGTTATGCTGGATCAAACTGCTAAAAATATCTTAAGTAATTCCATTAAGAAACCTGTTCATAAGGATTTATTGCTTTTCATGGAAATTAGTTCCTGGGTTTAAATCTGTTTATGAAGTGTTTATCGTGGCAGGAATGTGTTTGGCTATTTTTAAAATGCAAAGAGTAGAATAAAAATAGTTCTGATATAAATATTTTTTTTAAACACTTTTAACTTAAAAGAGGTTAATTTAAGATCATAATTGCATATTTTGCCTTAAAAAATCAGCTGGTATTTTCTGTTATAAAAAAGTGCTCAGCCTGAACAGGTGTCCATGGATACGCCATGGAAATATTTCTCGCCATCGCTGATCGTCTAAGTGTGAGCAGTGAACTGCTTCCCTTTCTCCCACCTGGGTTAATCGGTGGTGTGAAATAATGACAAAAATAGCCAAGTTTAAAACAAAATTACAGCTGCCGTAAAAACACTGACAACTTCTTGGATGGATAGGGCTCCGCAGATGACGTTAAATCTTGCGCAGTGGAACGTACTGCGGGCCATGTTGGTGACCCACGTACAACACTGCATCACTCCAGAGTCAGACGTTGAAGAGCAGCACAGTCACTTGTTATTTCCTTCCCTGTCTCGGGGCTGCACACGTGTGATCAGGATTTCGCTCACCCAGTGGTTTTGTTGTGTGCGGGACCAAAGCTGTGCTGGTTTGCACTGGATTTGGCCTTTCTTAGTAACCTAACCACCTCTGTGAATGGGCACAGGATGCTCTCTGCTCTGTGGTACGGCAAGAGGTGGCTGTGCCTATTCAATGGATCGTGGTACAGCAAGAGGTGGCTGTGCCTATTCAATGGATCTGGTACTTGCTTTTATTGTCCCACCTAGTGAAGCTGTAAGGCTTTCTGAAGAGAGCCTGGGTGTGCAGCGTATGGTTTCGCACCTTCTCCTTTCCCCTTTGCTGTGTACGCCCTGTGCGTGATGCTGAACTTCTCCGGAGCTGGCAAAAAGCAGGGCGTTAGCCATGGACCTCCCTTTCTCCAGAGTCCTTCAGGACACAGAAATCATTTTTTGGGGGTGGGTAAATGCACTTGTAACTTGTCCTAATCCTGCAGCCTGCCAGCAGCAAAACTTTGTGGGTATTGAGCTGGGAACTGGGGTGTGTAGGGCCCCAGTCACTCTAGAGGAGGCAGACACAGCCTTGGGAAAAGGGGTGTATTTCTGTGGATGCCGAGTGACACAGGCTGTTGCTGTCAGCAGTCACCCCGGCATGTTTCTGTGTTTGCTCAACGTTTTGCCAAGATACAGGGTCGTCAGTGGGGAAAAGAGCAATAGGATGAGAAACTCTATGTAAGAGGAAGAAATAGGTTCAGAATTACAGGGGGAGTCGAGAAGATAAGCTGAAATCCCTCAGGCCAAAAGAGCGTCAGAGTTAAACCTGGTCCTTCTGAAATCAGTGGGGGTCTTTGCTAACATTTCTATTGGGGGTCAAAACTCAAAACTATCTGCAGAAAATCCATACAGGCTGCTGGCTTAGTGTTAGAACTGAAATGAGTTCTTGGTTCCATATTAGCGTGCCACCTTTTGATTAAACTCATACTACCTTTTTCAGCCCGCTCCCTCATACACTTAATGAGATGTTGCACTTAAATAGTGCTAAATTAAAAAAAAAAACAACCAGGATTCAAAGACTTAGCTTTTTTAATTCTACATACTCGAGCGATTCTTTATAAGGCAAGTCTCACATCAGTTGTGTCGTTGACTCATGTTTGTTTTATTTTTAAAGAACAGTGTATCAGAAGAAAATCTCTGATAACAAAGCTGCTGCCTGCCTCTTGAGCAGCAAATTTTGTCTACAAACAAATTCTGTTTAGAATATAAATAATGGATAATAATATTTTGAAAAATATTTTGACAGCACCCTTTTAAACACTCCAGGAGCACTTAAATGCCGTAATAGGCAGCTGTCAGGTACATTTACAGTGCTTCTGCCACAAAAGAACCACAGTTACTAATCTTTCTTCAGTCTGTCTTGCTGACGTTTTGAATGAAGCACACGAGCACGGGGAAAATGAAGAGTTCTTAAGCTCTGCTTGCGGCTGATTTACAGGTTTTACTCCGAGCCATTATGAAGGAAGAAAGTGCAGCACGAAAGCACCAATTAAAGTTTAATTGGCTTCTCAGATTGTATGAGCAAGGTATAGGATGGCAGAAATTAAAAATTTCAAAGACCTGATACGACCTAACACCTCCAGAGTTTGTCTGCTTTCCCTTTTAATGACTCGGGCAGCAGGATTTCAGCCGCTTTCCAGGCTGATGATGCTGATGGTGTTACAATGTACCTTTGTATTACCAGTCTCCAGCTAGACCTGGTAATGGAATAAAACCGATGCCAACTCGGAAACCTCCTCAGGGAAGCCATGTTTAAAGAAAGCAAAATCTGACATTCCTCATTCGATTCATGCCCAGTGATTCTGTTTTTTCTGGTCGAGACTGAGGATGGAGAACATTGGAGGTCCTTTTGGATATTGAAAAAAAAAGAAAAAAAACCCAAACAGCGAAGCCAACAAACGGATTGGCAAATAATTCTCAAAAAAAAATTGGTTGATTTCCCTCTTAAAAGCACAGCAGAGTCCTGAGTTCCCCTGGGAGCCGCAGTTCAGACTGCAAGTCTCTGGGGGTTGTGTTTGCTCAAGTGGTTTGCACATTTTCACCCTGACCTGAGGGAGAGCTTTAAGTGCTACTATAATGCAATTTAAAAATAATAACAAAAATGCAGCACTCTTGTGCCTCACCTCCTCTCTTAGCTGTAGCCCTTTCCAGAGTGCTTTGGCGCATTCTGCTTATGGGGCTTTAACTGCTGATCTCACCGAGATAAAGAGACTTCCTGAACTGTTCCTGGGTTTGCCCCCAGAACCAAGTCATGTTTAGAGAGACCTCATGCTGCTGCAGAACCTCTGCTAATCACTGCCACCAAACAAGGCGGTTCCTTCAACAATAGACGCCCTGGGAAATGAAGAGACACGTGAACGAAATGCAAACAATAAGGAACCCCGGGACTTTGTTTGCTCTTCACAATTGGCTGCACAGAGGCAATAGGTGAAGTTGCCACGTTCCAGTGATTCAGAGGACAAACCACAAAATGTTATTGCGAAAGAAGCTCCTGGAATGAGTACAGCACGTTAAAATGTAACAGGAGGTTCACCTGTATGGAAAAGGCTTATTTTATCCCCTTAAGTTTTTTTATTTTATTGTTTTCTTTATTATTATTTTTCACCAGTTTTCCTCACCTGAAATCACTGGTGGTGTATCAAGAACCCTTTCTTAAGCCCCCACATTGATCTTGGCTTCCGTCTCTGAAGCAAATCAGTAATGTGTGCAGCATTCCAGGGTGAAGATTTTCAGGCAAGAATAGGCTGAAGAATGGAAAGTTTCTCCTAACTGGAATGCTTTCCTTTCTTGGATGATGTGCCACAACAGTCCAGCTCACCACTGGAAAGCAGTTAAATGCAGAAGATTTTTATGTGTAAACTAGTAAAAGTTTAAAGATATTAAAAACATTTTCCTCAAGTGGCTATGTGCCAATGGGAAAAGTGTTTAATGAATATTAAAATCTGAAATTTATAACTTTGATGATTCAGGCTGCGAGCATGTTTTTTTTCCAAGGGATGTTGTAAAGTACCAGAAGTATCTATTGAACTCCGGTCTCTAGGCAGCCCTAAGAGCAGGGTTTTTTCCAGTTTCATACCAGTAATTGAAGACAGTGGAGTTAAATTGGAGCAAAACGAGTAAAGTAGAAATGAATCATGTTCCTTGTCTCTATGAGAAAAGAGAGAGAAGACTATGTTAGAAACCGAAGGCATAAGTAATCGTGGAGAGGAACATTTTAAAGCACTGCCATTTTTTTACCCTTTTCACCAGTACGTGTGGGGTTTTGGAGGGATTTTAGGTGAGGTACATGAAAGGATTTCCACACAACAAACCCGTGCTTCTTAGAGACTGGCTGTTCTTTAAAATTTACAGAGGACCCAGCTTCTTCTCAGGAGCAATTTGGTATTTTCCATAAAAGCTAGAAAGGCTGGTTTTTTTCATTATCAGTGATCTTTTTTGTAGATTTCTGTGACGGAAGCTCGGTGTTTCTATTAGAGCATCTCTGTGAGAGCAGCATTTTGCATGTTTAAGACACTGAAACAACTGCTAAAATAGCATATAACCAGTAAATTAAAGTACATAAGTGGGAGGCAGATAGTCTAACATAGGTGTTCAAATTACTATCTTATCTCTGTACATAAACATTTGTGTTAACAAAAGCGGGGGTGTGGAATCCAGAGGTGTTTGGTCTTGTGTTCGTTTGTGCACTCTAGGAGCTCTTGTGAATATACAATATATTATAATGCAGTCTCACCATAGCTTAGATAACAACATAAGCCAAATACTTCTGCGATCTTTTTCCTTTGTCTTTTCGGTCTTGAAAATTAAATCTGGAAAGAATACTTAGTATTTAAGATTGAAAGATCAGGCACCTAAAGATTGCATTAATCCAGCTGTTGGGAATATTTATGTGGTTTTGGATTTAGTACACATATTCTGTATTTTCCACTACTCTTTTCGTTGTTAAATTATAAATGTCGGCTTGTTACTCCTTGTTTGCGGTGGAAACAAAAGCAGTTCACGTGCCAAGTAGTGTAGAGGCACTACAGCATGGTTGGGTTGCAATTACTAGAGCAGGCCCCGCGTCTGATGTGTCTCATCCAGAACATCTTTCACCTTGTGTGAATGCCGCTAAAACATGCAGGGTGAAATTTCGTTCTTCCTACACACAGGCAGAGCTGTCGTGTCTGCTTCGGTAGAACTGCTCAGCTATTTGAAAATCCAGCCCAAATCAATCAGAGCAGGGACTGGAGTAGTGCTTGCAGCCTGTGTGGATTCCTGGGGCTTTGAATCGAACAGGAAGATGCTTTTCCTCTGATCTCTGTTAATTCCTCATCAGCCACGTGGAGGACTGTGGGCAAGGACCGGGTGCCAAAATGATGTCGCCCTTTGATATACGTGACCACCAGTGTAATTTATTGGTCATTTTAAGTCAGCCAGTGAAGTCATTCCTCTTGCCAAGAATTCACAAACTTGCAGCATTAAATTTTATAATGCGTAGAAAACACAAGGCCAGACTTTTTTTCTCTTGTCATTTTATTCACTTATCAATATGAGCAAATGCGATAAGCGTGCCAGCTACGTGGGTAGAACAGTTTATAAATACAGCAGCAATAATTGCAGGCTAATTGGATCATTCCTTCATTGTTGCCCATTTTATAAATATCCTAGACTTGGAAGGAGTAGATTTTAATTGGCAAATGTTGGGGGAACTCATCCTCCTTTAAAAAAAAAGTTCCTTAATTAATAATCAGGGGAAATGAAGAAATGTATTTTTGTTCTGCTAGACAACTGGTATGCTTTTTCTTGTAATTTTGTCTGGCAGTGGGAGTTAAGTGTGGAGTCCTGCCCTGGGAGGGTTTTGGAGCCCCTGTTTAAAACCTCAGCAGATTGGGAGCAGTCATCTTCTCTCTGTAGAAGGGCTACCTGTGAGCCAAGAGATGTCACCTTCACCTTCCCTGAAGAAGAGGCATCTCCTACTGTAAATTCAAAGCACTCCTGGTTCCCCACAGTGCCATAGTCTCCATGTCAATTTGCCAGCCCACAAATATTCAATGCATAGCAGGGAAGAAGTTTAGCAAAAGATATTTCATTTCATGTATCTTAACATTTTTTAAAAATCAGTTATTATAATTGTGGCTTCCATGCTGCTTTTATTCATCATAACTTACAGGTTTGAATGGCATATGAAAGATACTAATTCTAATGATATGCATATCTCATTTTCTTTCAGCGAGCGTTAAACAGAAAAAAATTGACTGCAGCTGAATTCAGCAATAAGGAAAACTCTGAATCAAGCACTGAGCATGATAAAGAGAACTCCTTTGTCAAAACTGAACCAAGAAGAGTTAAAATATTTGATGGAGGGCAAGTATTGTACTTTGTATACTGGATATTGTTATGAAGATATTTTTTTCCTTGATTCTAGACTTTGCAGAGATGTTGCTTCCTGTTTGATTTATTTTAAACAACAGTTCCCTTACTGTGGTCTGTGGATGTTGGTTTATGTTTCCAAGAAAAATGGAAAGTCATCAGAAGCATGGAGCCATGAGAGTTACAGGAGGGGGTAGTGAAATAAAGAGCAGTAGGCAGTGCAATTCTTTTTTTTTTTTTTCCAAAGAACTAACATTAATCAGCAGTAAAGGCAGTAGATACAGCCATAGATGTAAATTCTGTTCCTATATTTCTCTTAAGTGATAAATAATACCTGTTCTGCAATAAGGTTGTGTGACTGTAGCCAGAGAGGATGTAGCCCAGGGGCTAAGCAGCAGGCTGCAGTACAGTCTCTGGCAGTTCGCTGTGGCATAGACAGACTGGAGAACTCCTGGTTTGAGAAGTGCCATGGAAATATTTACTGAGAGCCCTCATCCATGCACTGTAATACTCTAAATTGGTTGCCTGATATGAATAACAGTTGCTTTAGCCACAGTGTTGTGCCATGTACAACATCTTATAAAACAGATTATTTTTTTTTAGTGGAAAAGTGCCAGTGACACTTCTAAAAATTTTGAGCACAAATGGTGTGTATTTTATTATTCCTGTAATTGGTGCCGGGCTCTAGGGCTTTCCATTTATTGTTTCCCAGTTTGAATCCAGTCTAGGCCAGCAGTTAAGCCATTACCAGCTGCCCAGGTAAAACTTTTCTGTGTGTCTCTGCTCTGATCCAAACGTTGCAGGGAGCAGGTCACAAAAGCTGAAGCACAACCTTTACCACCCTTGAGCAGAGATACGATGGATGGAATTGAATCTGAACAATTTTTTCCATCTAGAGACAGTCCCAGCAGGCTGAGTCCAGAGCACATTGACAGGGAATTTTAAAGGCTTTCCCACTGTCGTAACTAATGTTGTTCCTTTTCTGCATCCAACGCAGAGCCTCAGAGGTGCTCTGTTAAAGCTCCCTCACAGTGCCCAAACCCGCTTCCAAGAACTGACGCTTTAAAAAAGTATGTTCCTGTGTTGTGAAGAGGAAATTTGAAATCTTGAAATGTCTAGTGTCAAACGGTACCTTTATTAAAAAAGATGTGCCATCATTCCTAAACAAGTCCCTGATTACCCAGTGAAAAATCTAGATGTGAGTTGAACAAATAAATGTGTAAGTTGAACAGAAAAAGAGCATGATTAGTTTTGTCAGTCATCCATTTTTATGTATAATTTTTAAAATTCTGGCAGGTTGTGGTTTCTAACTAGAATAATTTTCCCCTTTACAACTAATTGCCTTACTCTCTGATGGTACTGTCACCAGGTACAAATCAAATGAAGACTATGTGTATGTTCGGGGGAGAGGCAGAGGGAAGTACATCTGTGAGGAATGTGGGATACGTTGCAAGAAGCCCAGCATGCTGAAGAAGCATATTCGCACACATACCGATGTCCGTCCTTACCATTGCAATTACTGCAACTTTTCCTTCAAAACTAAAGGTAGGTGCACTTTTCTGTGTGCATTTTTTCCCCCTTTTCTTTTCTTCTCACGTTTGGCTGTTCATAAGCTAAAGGAGTTGCCTCTCTGTGGAGTTTTATTTTCTAATGCTTCAAATATTTGTAGTTTCTTACTTCTTGTCCTTTGTCTTCTGTATGTTTATTCAGATAATCACATCTTTATATAAATGAACTATGCAGCATGCCACAGTAGGTAGGAGAAAAAGAGAGTGGAAGAGGAAAATCATGTGGGAGTAAGATGAAAGTTAGGTGAAGTGAGCTGGTTGGCTGCTTATCCATGGTTGGGATGGGAATGCAGAATTTTAGGTGCCTAGCAGTGAGCTTTTGGAGGTACGACATCGGCATATGTTGTACTCCTGTTGGCACTCAACTGGTGTCTCGGGGAAAGAAGTTGGCTTTCATTAAACTACTATATTAAAATGTTTTATATACCCTTGAAGGACAAGGTGCATTTTCCACTTGACCTTCTAAGACCCAAAGAGGGACCCCTACTTTTCAAAACATCACCTGAGTGATGTGCTCCAGGCGTTCCTGCTTTAGCAGGGGAGTTGGACCAGATGATCTCTAGAGGTCCCTTCCAACTCTGACAATTCCATGATTCCATGAAAACCTGTTACACCAGATACTTTAATGCACCCTAGCTTAAGCAGGTGGTATATTAAACAGTAGTGGGTCCAGGACTCAAAGCAAGTGAAACAGACAGGAGAAGTTCACAGCCAAAATAGTTTCAGCAAAAAGATTCTAAGCAGTAAAATTGTTCTTGGCTTTGAACATCATTTAGCAATAATCCTCCCCAGCTGTAACCTCAGAAACATTTGTCTTTTTAGTGGGTTTGAGACTACACATCACAAAAAATAACCCAGTGCTGCAGGAAGTGGGTTGGGTATTCTTTAGGTGTGTCAAAACCTATCACTGCATCCTGACACGCTGGGTCATCTTGTTGCCTTTAAGATGAAATGTCAGAGTGCGAACCCAATAAATTCCAATTATGGTTTTTGCAGAGCAGGCGTGCTGGCCAAGCTCAGAGAATGAAGTGTTCTGCCCATTTGAAGTTCTCCCTGGTTTCAGTTGTAGCAGATACAGTTCTCTTCTGCAGTTGCTGTGCCCAGCAGTTGCCATTACAGCTGGCAGAGTCAGTCATGCAGTTGGGTGCTAGATGTTTGGTAAACCACCCTTCATGAAAGGGCGGTGTGGCCGGTAACTTCATGTAGCATATAAAACAGGGAAATATGCTATTTGTGAGTCAATATAGTTATATAGCTTCATAACAATTACTTGAAAATTTGGGGTGTATCCTAGCTTCATTTCAAAGGAAGAATAAAGCATTCCAAAACTATGGAAGGGTCACCATTTCACCCACTGGAATTTTTTCCGTTTGAATGCCTCAAAGAAAAAGGTTTTTGAGAGACAATAGGAAATTTAAATAAATGAGCAGTTACTTGTAGTAATATACACTTCACAAATATCATCATTTACAGACCTCTGATGTACTCAACCTTTTCTTGATGATATTTGCCATAATTTTTTTTCAAAGGAGAAGGGGAGAGCAGCCTGTGGGATCTCTCAGCAGCTTTGCATTCACTTTTGAGATTTGGATAGAATATGTTCACGCTCTGATTTTGAATAAAATTAATCTGTTTAGGTCAGCAGTGAAAGTGATTACACTAAAAATAGAATCCATTAAATACTAATAGAGCTGAAAGATACGACCTTTAGTTTCACGCAGTAGTTTTCTTTCAACATGACTTTGAAGACTGAATCGGCCTTTTTTATACTTTGCCATAAACAAACGAGGGATCTTTTACACCAATGCAAAATACGTCATTATCTAGGATTTCTATCCTATTCTGTTTTATCTCAATAAAGAACTTCATGAAATGTTGCCAGAGACCTAGTAGCATTCAGGATGGTGAATCTGCTGCAGCCCTTGGCAGCTTGCATTGAGGGGCAAGGTTCTGTCAAGTGTGAAATCAAATTATACAGGTGGTTATGAATGTACCTGAGCAAGATACAGGCATGTTGAGTGTATATTTGTATAGTCACAGAGGACTTAATCTTTTTCATTTTTTCTTAAGGAAATTTAACAAAACATATGAAGTCAAAGGCACATAGCAAGAAATGCATGGATTTGGGAGTCTCGGTAGGCTTAATAGACGACCAGGATGGAGAAGAAGAATTTGGTAAGAAATTAAAATCTTCTTTCTTTACTGCATTTTTGATTTTATTTTGTCATCCCAGTTTCTTACCTTTTCTTTTCCAAAGCTTTTAAATTCTTGTACAGGGAATAGATACAGAGATAAAAAAATCTTAGAATCTAGTCCAAGGGAGTAAGAAATACTGGGAAAACCTTCGCTAAAAGAAATGGCAAGCATATGCTAAAGATAAATTGCTGCTGAATTCTTCAGAAAGTGTTATGCAGTTTAACTTTATCAGTTTCACAGATAAATATGACAAGACTGAAAATACCAGAAAAACAGCTGTTCGCCTAGAAAAAAAATACAGTCAACTGTAGTGTTTCTTTGAAAATAGTTGTGCATGAAATTGTCAAAGTTTTGAGATACACATTTCATAAAAATTATATCACTAACATGCCACCCGAACCATAAATATGTTGCTGCGTGCTTTGCAGAGGGGCTAATCCAGTGTAGAGTTCTGTCCTCCTTCACAAATAATTGGGTATAAATCAGCAGATAGAGATCATTTAGAAATTATGAACATTTTTCAGCTTGACCTATTCTACCTCTCCATTAGTGATGAGAGTGTTATCAAAATGAATGTATTTGCTAATAATTGGAATTCAGCACTTTCCTCATCCTCAGATGGCTCTGATGAAGAGGAGATGAAATCAAGGACAGGTGAAGAGCACCAAATTGAGGTCATGTGGGTTTGGCTTGGCATGATAAGAAACATGTAGCTGCACCAGAGCCAGTGGGATGGAGAACAGGGTTGTGCATTTGGACTCTGTTTCGGACCTCGACATGTCTCAGAGAGTGGTGGCATTTTCTCCTTCCTCCCATTTCTCAGCAGGGAGATAAGTCCTGTTGCCTTGTATTTTGTTGTATTTTTCTTCCTTCAGTGGAATAGTTTATTAGATTGCGGATGAGGTTTTGAGACAAGAAAGCAGTGGGGATCTTTATTTAAACAGTAAAGGGCAAGAAAGATGAGTGCACTTGCTCCCGTATGACAACCGCGAGCAGAATAAGCGAATCAGCTTGAACCTAATTCTAAATAATGCTGGGAATATGACTCAGCTGGGATGATTCAGTAGTGCGCTAGGTACAAAGAAACCTGCATTTTCCCTTTTTTGGCATTCTTCGATAGATTCCTTTTCGGTAAGCTAAAAACATGTTCCCCGTTGCAATTTCAGGTACCAAATAAATAACACAGAAGATAAGCGGCAGTACAAATTATTGTCCTTTTCTCACAGAGGAACAGTTTTCATTAACATTTTCAGCCTTCAAATGACAGAAAAATCGTTGCAACTTTTTTAAGCAATGTTCTGTAGCTTTTGACATGTTATTTAGTTTTATAAACTACAACTGAACAGGTATTTCCATTTACTGGGAACTGAAAACATTTTATTGATTGATAAATCGATATTCCCGATTGCATACATTAAAATCTGCATTTGTGGTTATATGTAATGGGAAATGTTTCAAATGTTAACAGAATTATCAGTAACACCCAGTAGAAGTAAGCCATTTCAAACATTTGATGAAAGATAGCTTTTCTTTGGCTCTAAGACTATTTAATTGAGAGAGAGAGAGACACACTCTCTTTTTACATAACATGTACGGGTGTGTGTAACCATAGTATAAATAAATTATATATTCCCTGAAATGGGTTCTTTGTTTCAGCACAGTAATTACTTAACAAAATAAATACTCTATTTTGGAAAAAAAGAAGCAAGATAAACATTCAACAGGATTTGCCACATAATCCATTAAACTCTTCCAGAAATTTAATTATAAGACTGCAATGTTTTTTTATCTGGGTTGGTTGTTTTGTTTGTTGTTTTTTTTTTTCCAAAATAGAGCAGGTAACACTTCTTTCTTTAGCTAAGAACCCCTAGACAAAAAACAACTTGGTGATAAAATCCCTATCTTCTCTAAACCACCTAGCTCAGGTACCCAGAGCAAAACCAGCACAGCAGCACAAAGCTCAGCACAGAAGTTCCATCCAAGAACCAGATTAATTAAGCCCCTCATCAACGCACATTTGCTGCAGCTAGACCATCCAGCCTCTCCCGTTGCTGCCTAACCCAGTGCCTTTACAATTATCTATGTAAATTCAATGAGTAACTGTACACTTTAAAAATGCAGTTTCATCTCCCAGCTCACCTCGCCACACTTGAAGGTATTTCTCATGATAATACAGAAAATTGCTTGCTGGCCCATTTTGAAGGCAAAGAGTCAGAAAGGGCGGGGGGGAAAGTGTGAAGTATTTGCATACAGGATTTTTCAAATGTAGGTGGTTCTGCTGCCCTCTCTGAAATCCTGTACTTGCAAATTTTTTGGCCACATTTGAATGTGATTGAATATATTTATTTTTTTTGAGGTGTCTAGGCAGCCTCATTTAACAAAGCAGCTTGCACTAGCTCTTTGGCTGCCTTTTCCCCAAGGGCAGTGCAGCCGAGCTGGCGTTTGGGGCAGCCCCCCTCATGCCAGGTCTGGGCTCCAGGGACAGCCCTGCCAGCAGTATGTCACCCACAAAGGAAAACGTGAGGTATTGGGTATTGAGCCACCCTCTCGGCGTTACATCTTCCACCCTTTCACCCCTCCTCTCTCTCCCATGTGGCCGTGGCAGGTTTTTTTGTCACGTATCCTTTTGGCGATTTAAAAACCTATGTCTTTAAACATGTACATTTTTTACTTCAGGAGTTGCTGTAAAAAAATGATCTCTTTCTTAAGAGAGTGGTCTTTTCAGCCCCATCTCTTTCCTCAGCTGGAAGGCAATGTGAGATGATGTAGAGGAGGGTGCGGAAAATCTGATAAGAAATAATTATGACCTCAGAAAAAAATTTTCTTCTTCCCGTAGGCCGTGTGAGATTGGCCGGTTTCCTGATCCAGAGAATGTCTGTCTGTCAGTCTCTAATTCGTTATCCGAACACTCGGAATACTGATTATTCTGATGGCAATAAAAACGTCTCCACTTTTGCTTAAAGTAACTAAGCTGTACGTCTTCCAGACTTCGAATCAGAGAATTAGCCAGAAACTTAACAGCCAGCAATCTTTCATTTACTAAGGAATTCGCTGGTTCTGGTTTTATGTAGTTGTGTGTTTTTTTAAGCATAGGCAACCACAATTATTTGAATATATCATTTTTTAGATTTACAAGAGAAGTCAGCACTGACCTGATAGCAGTACAGATTAATAGTGCACGCGGATTGAATAGAGAGTGCAAAATTGTGCGCAGTCCTGAAGGCAGGCCCACACACACACACACACACAGCCTGGCTTTGAGTAATCTGAGAAGCTGAGATTTTGTTGTGCTGTAGCATCTAGGGAAAAAAAGAGAGAGATGCTCTCTAGCTGTCTGAGACTATATGTGATCAGAGCTTTTAACATAGCATTCTTTGTATTTGGAGTTGTCATCATTTGGGTATTAGTAAATACTTTCTGGCCTGTTTTTTTTTGTATTCAAAACCATTCCCTCATCCATTTATCTTTCATCTTCTGCTCTGTGGAATGTTCTTGTCACCAAAATACAGGGTTGCAATGTAAGGAATGTTAATATCTGAATTAAATTGTCAGGCGAGGTAAACTGTGACAGACTGCAACTGGGGATATCCTCTTTGACCATGTTGACCCAGCTTAGTGTGACAGACTGCAACTAGGGATATCCTCTTTGACCATGTTGACCCAGCATTTTGCTATGCAGTCTTAAAAACATCAATAATTTGTCTTCAAATTAAAACAGTTATGAACTTTAAACCTGTAATATTTCATATGTAAGCTAATGAATGAATGGTATGGTACGCCTGAGTAAACTTGCAGAAGATAGTTATTTAATAATTAAATCAGTAGATGGACAGGACTTGTTTCAATGGTCTCTGCAGAGAAATTTTATCCCCAAATTTTCATTACCAGTGAATAGACCTAATTGTAAGTTTCAGATATGTATTTATATATATATGCACACACACATATATTTTCTGCAGTATTAAGTAAACCCTTCTAAAGATACAATGGTTCTAAGTTAATTAGCTATACATTACTTCTAGTAGATCTTAAGTGAGCTTCCATGGCTCTTCATTAGCTTAATCATGACTCAGTCTGTGTGTGTTTTCACTGCACCTACATTTTAGGAGTGAAAATAAATGAAAATCCTTGCAATAATATCCTCCATTTGCAAATAAAATGGAAGACTGGTTCTGTATAACCTATGCAAAATATTTTTCTTTTTATTTTTTTTTTTACTGCCAGTGTCTGATCTTCAACTAGATGTACATTAAGCATGCTGGAGCCCTACACCTACAGCCTAGGAATAGAATTGCTAATGCTAGGGTTGATTTACAATTTACAGATTACCCAGGAAGGCTTAGGTGTAAAAAATCTCTTCAGAGAAGAAGGGGTTACCCTTGCTTTTTTTGGTTAGTTCTATTTTGTCACTTTCCATACTCTCAGGAATGAAAGTCAAAAGCCCACAGTTCTTTTTTCTCATTTCTGAGGAGCACTGGCTATTACCAGTCTGAATTTAACCCAGTAGATGTCACTGTGAGTCCTGTTTGATGATGATGAGCAGTGGACAGTAGCTGAACCATGACTGAAATCAGTCAAGTGAAGCCTCTGAACAGACTTAGAAAGACAAGGAGACATCAAGTTTGGGTATAGATGCTAGTGTTGTTTCACATCACTATATTTACCCTTAGTTATTAAAATTTGTTTAAATGGTTGTGGAACAGTCTATTGCAAAACTAACACAAGAGGTAAAAAAGGCAAGTCTAACTTTGTTATTGTTGAGAAAAATAGATAGTGTGGTGATGACTTGGTTACTTTCAAGTTTATGATAATATGATGACAGACTAAAAATTATTTCTGCCTTTATTGCTGTAGTATGTTCTTTTTTTTCCTCGAGTTTGATGGAGAATAACGAATATTCTTTATTGTTAAATGCTTTTATGTAGCTACTAATCCATAACTGAAGATACTTCCACAATTTGAGGTGATAAACATTGCTTTGAGTTACTCGGGTGCTAAAAGCCAATAAATTTAGCAAATTAAAATTTAGGTGGGAATAGATAGTGAACAGACCAACAGATACTTAGTAAGCTATGTCTTAAATCTGTCTAAGAGCTAATAGTGATACCCATAGTTACCTATGTAACTGTCCATTTGCTTAGGAACACGTCAGCAGTCTGGACTTAAATTTTCAGGTCTTTCTTGTCTTCCTGCCAATGAAAGAATGAAAATTAACATTTTGCTCTTTATGTGAAAATCTACCTAAATATGATTCTGTTATAAGAAAACATGATAAAGTTATAAGCCATTGAACTTTATCACTGGATGTGGTACAGAAACAGGGGCCTGCTAATTCAGGTCATGTAATGGACTAGTTGGTGATACCACAATTAAAAGCTGTAAGTTGAGATTCTGAAGAACCATGCTCATGTTAGGATTGATTTACAATATACTGGTTACCCAGGAATCTTTTCAAAGAAGCAGAAGCTACTCTTACTTTTTTTGGTTAGTTTTATTTTGTTACTTTCCATACCCTTAGGAATGAAAGTCAAAAGCCCACGGTACTTCGCACTATGATGATAATTAGATAACCATTGTTAAAACCATGTACAGTAAGGATTCCTGTAGGAAAAAAAGCTTTGGAAATAACCTACATGGAGAGACCCATTTCAGTTACCTAAATCATAGCATCACAACTGGAAAAAGCAGTTCATGGACTTACTAGCCCCAGGCACTTCACTAATGGACATATTAGGATGCTGATAAGTCTGGCTAATGCTATTGTGCTAAAGAACTTGAAGCTTTTTCTCTCCCGCTTTGAGGTAAAATGTCAGTATAACAGAGCCTTAGCCAACAAGCTCACCAACACTGCAGACACAATACGGAGTTGATTAGCTGAGGACTGACAACAAAATAAATGAAGGACTAAGATGATTTTTGCCTGTGATTTGTATACACTTACTTCAATACCTAGGATTAAAAACTCAGCTTTTTAAAATACGATTATAGCTGGCATATGAGCAAAATCTCCAGTCAAAAGTTGTGTCCACAGTTCTGTTATACCTTTATTTCCAGCTGTTCCTAGTTTTTGCAGTGTTCATGCCTGTAGCCAAAAGTTCCACTTTCTCCTGTGAAGTCCAGGAAGAAGATAAAGTCTTGCTAAGGATTTAAAAGAAAAGATTGCAACAGTTGATAGGAGATGAGAAACATTCCCTACTCTTCCAAAAGCACTCTTTATAAAAAAAATAAGGCAGTCTTGAACAGTCTCTCTGTTAAAATGGTCAGTTACAAATTTGAAAGAGGAGTAGCTTTCATAACGCAGAACAGCCTTCACTTAATAGTGTGAAACTTTTTTCCTGTTTTCTTTTTTTTTAAAAAAAAACAGAACCTGTGAACTTTCATGCCAAAAGCCATTTCCCCATATGCTAGTGGCCTTTAAATTTATGACACATCCTTCATTCTAAAATATCCCACACTGCTTTACAACCTCACACAAAGTTAAACACAGAAGTCATTTTGTTCCCTTTGGAAATTGAGTCAGTTGTAGTTATATATATATCAGCTACATAAGCATATGGTTATAATTGTGCATAGTTTAAGATAGGAAGCGAAGAATTAATTTTTCCCCAATTAAAACTGCAAGGGAACTTTAGTAGGCAGCGTACCATTACTGAAATGGATCGGGGCCAATACTACTTGGTTAACAAGACAGTGCTTGGAAAAGAGTCTTTCACCACAAGGAGTGGCCACAGCCTCAGCTTGATGCCTCATTCGGAGAAGACCTCTAACCTGCCTTGGTCTTCCCTCTGCTAAAAACTCCAGCACCTGGTCCTCTGTCAACTCCACTGATTTACAGCAGTGCTTAAGGGGATCACTAATTACAAAAGCTTGGGCACCTCTTGTTTCAGCAAACATGCACACAGGTGAAAAAGCCAGAGCAGAGCGTTCTTTTGTGCATTTCCAGAGCAAGCGAGCCAGGAACGGTTTTGAGTCAGGAATGGGGTTTTTTTTAAATCTGATGTTTGGAAGCGGTGTGGGAGTAAGGGAACCACATTCATCGCTGTCACCTCGCCCACACTGCAGGCTCTGGCTCCAGGTAACCACACTGAAATAGAAGCTGGCAAATACACAAAGGGTGGAGGTAAACAGGGAAACAATAGAGGGAAATGATATCCCACCGAGTCCTGCATGTAAGGAATCTGTGTCCCACACACAGTTCCCCTTTCCCTTTCTGTGGTTTTATTCTAGAAAGCCGAGACGCATGCAGGAGATTTCTACACAAGCAGCATTTGCTAGTAAATCCTGTAGAGTTTTTAAATGTTGACTTGAAAAAAAGATAGTTTCTTATTATAAATCAGGGCATTGTTTGAGCGTGTGTTTTCCTTGCTTTACAAATGTGACAAGTCAGATTAATCATTTCAGGTGGTTTCTCTTGCCAGTTGGAGACAATCATTGGTGATTGACATCAACTTTCACAGAAAATGTGATTCGTGTGGAGAGAGGGAGAAAAAAGAAAAGAAACAATAGGATTTCCCAGAGAATAGTTATGTGATGTTGGTAAAGGGACCAAAGTTAAGAGGGACTGAAATCCAAGATTTTGCAATGCCCCATACGTTATTTAAAGAGTTGCAGGAAATGCATGGGTCACCCTTTAGATGTAACGCTCAGTGAAGTCCTTGAGAACTGTTAAAGAGGCATTGAAGTGAAATCATTTCCATTCAGAAATTAAACATATGTAGAGGTTCTAACGTTTTAGATGTGTTTGCTTTGCAAATTAATGATGAAGAAACACTGTGTGTGAAGAAGAGAAATGACAGAAGTACAGGGAAAAAATGGTTGAATAACTCCCATGTGGTTTTGTTAATAATATTTTCAACAATCCTACTTGCCATATTTTTGGAATGGACCTTACTGAATTAATTTTTCCACTAAAATGTGTTTTCTTTTTTGAACAGCTTTGTCTGTAGATGAGAATTATAAATGAAGACTATTAAAAATTCTAAAAAATATTTTTGTTAGCATCGTTCCAATGACCTAGAGGATTTGGGGTACTTCTAATAACATTTCAGTTTCAGGCCTGCTGTAGTAAATGTAGAAAAATCTATAGTTTCCATATTTAGTTAATGTACAAATTACTGTGTAGGCAAAGAGGGGCAAAGTCATTATAGAGGGATTTTTTCAAAGAAGCTATTAGTCTCGTTCCTAATTGCATTGCTCATTTGAAACTATAAAGGCTTATAATGGCGAGTAACTTCTTGCGAGATAGCTCAATTAAACCCATTTACTTTACCTGGAGTTCAAGATGCTTATTTTGATTTTGGTAACGTAGCAAGCTAAAGTATTGGTAGTACGTTCAAATTCTTTTAAGGGTCTGATTTTTTTCAGAACCGTTCATTTTGATGATAAGCTGCTGTCAAGATTTCTCTAGAATAGGATCTCCGAGATTTTAACTAACCAGCCATTATTGCTTTCGCAGAGCCAAATTATTTTTATGCTGATATTTTTTTTGGACAGCTCAGCAGACAGACCTTTAATCGAATATAAAATATTAGCGCATTCAAAGCATTTTGTCTTTTATAAAATATGATCCCAGACAGTCTGGCTTGGAATCAGATACAGCAGATGGGATTTTCTGTCTCTTTAGTAAAGACGATTCTTTCTTTCCAAGTTATGATATAAAAGAAGGTGAAAAGCTGCAGTAGAGCTGTGTTTTGTAGAGAAATTTACCACTAGACAGCAGTTTGGCTTTAAGGCTTGAAGTCAGGAGGGCTTCTCCATGTGAGCAAAGTTTCATGCATAGGTAAGTTTTGATAGGATTATGGCTTTCTTGCCTCCTAGGACACCTTTTAAAACATTAGCCAAGTGAAGAAATCTGTAAGGTCTAATTTTGGTCCCTCTTGCCTGTTAACGAGACAGATTCCTGACTAACAGCCTCCAGTCTTTCTGTTTGCATCCTTCAAAAACCTTTGCAACAGTGATTCATATTAGGTACAAGGACACCCACTTATGAGTCAGAACCAGCTAGAGAATATCCCACCGCTCAGGTTGGCAGAGCAGCTCCGTATGTCGTCACTGGGAACTTAATGAACCGGGAATCTGCTCGCTGCTCCCCGAGTGAAAGAGTGAAGGGTGACTTTGAGCAAATGGTTATAAGTGGTTTGAAAGAAAACAGCCAAATCCAGAAGGTTAAAAACAACATGGAAGCAGAAGGTGAAAGATTATGTAGCTGTATAATTAAATATGTACCCTAGAAAATAATAAAAAAAAACAAATAGAATCTGCCCTGTTCCTTTGATCCAACGGAATCTGTCTGAAAAATGCACATGACATGGAGTTTTGGTGTTTCTAATTACTCCCTCCTCCTCCCTCTCCCAATCAGTCCAGGACCTCCATTGGCTTACCTTCTAATCTCCACTTTTGCAGGTGAGAAGCAAAGATTTGGGTATGACCGGTCAGGATACGATGTGGAGGAGTCCGATGGTGCGGATGAAGATGAAAATGACAATGAAGATGATGATGAAGACAGTCAGGCTGAGTCAGTCCTGTCCACAACCCCCTCGGTGACGGCCAGCCCCCAGCATCACCCCTCTCGGCACGGCCTGCAGGACACCCCCAGCGCCGATGAAGACATCAGACTTCCAGACTGTTTTACTGGGGTTCACACGGACTCGATGGATGGGCTGCCAAAAGCGCTGCTGACGAAGATGACCGTCCTTAGCGCGGTGCAGTCTGTCAGCAGGACCTCCAGGTCACCAGCAGAATTCACCCACCAGGAAGCACATGAGGATAAAGCCCAGGAGAGGGGAGCGGGTCCCCAGAGTGGTAGCGCAGCGCTGGCAGACGTCCCTCCTACATCTCCAGGTCGCCAGATGTCTGTGGATTACCCCGATCCAGAAGCAGCCTTGGGCCACTCCTTACTATCAACTGCAGCTCTTACAAAGGTAGGAGTGTCTGACTCCAGGGGGGAGAGTGGGATTTTAAATCCGCCTTTGAAAGATCTTTCTGGAGATTTTTTTCAAAGATCAAAATGTTTGCCCTTCCCTTCGTTCTTAGAGTTGTTGGCTGATGAGTCTTTAAGGGATTTGAAAGGAACCAAAGCACAGACATGTAGGACCTTAGAAAAAACGATGATACAGGAACACTGCTTTTCAAATTCTTAGTTTTGATTGTATTCTGCCTGAAAAGATTAATTGTAGTATGGTCATCTCAGCTGAAGTTTGGAGCTGGTAGATTGTATTTCGAATAAGAAGGGATATATTAGATATGTAGAATAAACATATGGTGGTGGTTATGAAGTTTTCAGAGGAAAGTGATAGGATTCAGAAGCCGTTTAACTGTGAAATACGACAGTAGAATCATTGATAATTCCCAAGGGAAATTAATCTAGTCCCAAAGGTTTTTTTCTTATCACTATAGCAAAATTGTGCAATTGTGTATTTCTCCTCCAAATACGCTTAGTAGTAGAATTAGAAAGAGCACCAGATGTTCAAGGAAAGTAGGAGATTGCCCTTGCACGATAACAAAAGGAGAGATGAGCGCAGAACTGAGACCCAAGTTCCCAGTGCTCTTTGTTTTTCTCCAACCTGAAGGAACATTTTAATCGGAAAAGGATCAGCTTAGTCCACGCTTATTCTAGACACAGCTCTTCAGAGCATGCAGAAAGATGAGGTCAGTCTGTGTGGAAGGCTGCAGGAGCATTCAGTAATTCTGACAACTGTTGTCTTGAAAACTCTGCTGAGGAAATCACAGAGGGGACCTGGCAGGTGTTTAAGCCTTTTACAATTCAGCAATATTTTAATGGACTGCAATGGGGACGATACAAGTCACATACGTGATTGCCCTAAAGATATATCTTGAAGGTTTTGAATTCTTACTGCAGAACATAAAGGAGCTTTCCAGAATAATGTTCAGAAAAATGTGATGTGAGATATAGTTTTAATAAAGGAGTAATTACTGCCTTCTCTGTGATGAGTGCAGTATTTACAAATAGTATACGCATTGTTATAGAAAAATAAGCAGCAGGAAATTTTCAAAAGCATAAACAGTAAGCTAAAAATTCACTCTTATTTAAGTACTTACTGGCTTGTTTTATCTTTGAAAATCTGTTTTACTGGATTTTTTGTTTACTAAATTTGATAGTGAACTGTTAACAAGGAGAAACAGTAAAAATTATTGCTGCATTTCATAGTTTGACACAGGTTCACTCCTGCTTATGAGAACTGTGAGTCTGTATGGTAAATGTAAATCGGTGAGATTTTGTAGTGTGACAGGGAATAAAATGTAGTGGTCCCTGATCACTGTATATACCTGCCACAAAAGGGGTAGGATCTTAATATTTGGATTTGGGGTTTCAGTTGTTGCCAATAGATACCAGAAAGACCAAATTTTCAAATGCATTTCTGTCTGGGTTTCAGTTTGGTGCCTGCTCTAGAGATTTCTTGAGAGTTTGGTCAAAACTACAGAATTACTGCTTAGGACTATGTAAACTAAATAAGGTGACACCACTCTTTATGTGTTATGCATGTGCCTAAAACTAAAAGATACCACGAGACTGAAATTGCAGTTTAAGACTTCTCGGTTTAGGAGTTTTTAGGAAAGGATATTGCCAGGTTTGGTTGGTAACACAGGCTATAAGAGAAGAAAAGGGAGCATATAAATACGATCATCGGTCCAGGTTTGAGCAGTAAATCACAGGGAGCTGAGGCAGCAGTGAGTGCCACGTCTCAGTCCCGTCACCTCAGCTTCTGTGGGCACAGTAGTTGTCATCCATCTCTTGTTAATTGCTTATAGCCCATCTTCCACATTAGAAGCACCTACGGACAAAGGTGCCGTGATGCTGTCCCTGCCTGCCAGAGGCTGTAGTGGCTCCCGGAGGGGAACTCGGTGCCTCAAAAATGCCATCTTATGCTTATTTAACCTTCTTGCTGGAGGTCATGTCCACAGAAAACAGTTCTCCAAAGCCTTCTCGCTCCTTAGAAAACACATACAAAGGATATTCAGCAATGTTTTCGAGTAGTAGTGTTCAACAGAAATTAGCCCGGGTAATTAGGAGAGGAAAATTCAATTAGTGGGCGAGGAAGGAGTTGGAAAAAGAAAGGAAGGAAATTAGTTCATTGTTCAAGCTGGGCAGTATATACTGTGAACCAGTTCAACGTTGTTTTTATTCTTAAAAGGCGGTGTGGGAAGCACTCCCAGCTACCTTGCGTTGCCATTTCACTCGGTGGTTAATGGCCACCCTATTAACATTCCTGTGTTGTTCTCTCCCAGAGCACGCCCTCCGTCAGCTCTCCCTCCTCGCCGGTGGACAGCAGCCTGCCGACCACAGCACCGTCCCCCTACGCCGAAATCCCGGAGGAGAGGCTGGCCGGGTGCCCGCAGCAGGCCGCCGAGCTGAGGGCTCCCCAGACTCACCTCTTCAGCCACCTCCCCCTCCACTCGCAGCGCCAAGCCAAGGCGCCCTACGGCACGGTGGCACCGCTCGGGGGGATTCAGGTGGTCCCCGCCGGCCTGGCCACCTATTCCACCTTTGTCCCCATCCAGGCGGGGCCGGTGCAGCTCACTATCCCCGCCGTCAGCGTGATTCACAGAACTACCAGCGCCCTCGGCGAGACGGGTGGCGCGGCCGCTGGCGCCGCCGCCAACCCCATGGGGATGGCCGAGGTGAACAGCGTGGTGCCCTGCATTCCCATCGGCCAGGTGAGCGTGCCGGGCATCCAGGGCCTCGGCCCGCCCGGCCTGCAGCCTCTGCCGCCGCTGGGCATGGAGACGGTGAACATCTTGGGCCTGGCAAACACCAACATCGCCCCGCAGATGCGGCCTCCGGGAATCACCCTCAACGCCGTGGGCCTGCAGGTTTTGGCCCCGCAGGGCAGCCCCAGCCCGCAGGCCCACATTCCTGGCTTGCAGATACTGAACATCGCCCTGCCCACCCTCATCCCCTCCGTCAGCCCCCTGGGCGCTGAGGGGCAAGGAGCCTCCGAGGCGCCCGCCTCAGGCAGCGAGGCCCAGCCGGAGCCAGCTCCCGTTGGCTTCCCCGCCGCTGAGGTCGGCCAGGCCAGCAGGGCCACTTCTCCTCCTCCTCCTCCTCCTCCTCAGCGGTACGGCGGGAAGAGCCATCCCGAGCCCACCCCACCGCTGACCGACAGCCCGGGGAAAGGGGATCCCGAAAAGACTGACCTCGTGAGCCCCGCCAAGCCAAAGCGCGACGTCCCTTCCCTCCCGGCGAAGAGGGCTGCCCTGGCCGAGCCCCGCTCCAAGGCGAGTCCCGAGGCATTAACCAAGTCCTCCCCGGTCCACCGAACTGTCTCCCCGGACAGACAGGTACACAGGCCAGCCGCCTTGCCCCGGCGGCAAAACACGGTGCAGTTTAGCGATGGCAGCAGTGACGATGAGGATAGACTTGTAATAGCAACCTAGTTTTTTGTTTTTCATTGTGTTTTTATTTTTTGGGTTGTTTTCTTCTTTTTTTTTTTTTTTTTTATAACACTTACAGGTTTCTTTGCAAACCTCCCTTTCCTTAAAGCACATTTTTCTGACACAAACCCATTACTAATCTTCGTGCAATCATGAACTCTTGACCAATAATTGTTGTTTCTTGTCAGCTCCAGCCATTTTTGTACATGTTGTATAGACGATTGTGCCTTTTTGGAGTTTTATGTTTAGAAACCTGTACAGATTGTTGAATATATATATATAAAATATATATATATAAAATATGTATATTAAAACCAGGTAGTTGCTTGTGTTTAGTAAGTAAACATCCTATGTCAGATAAATAAAGGATTAAATTATATGTTGCACTGTTAAATGTAAATTTTTATGGCTGTGGGACAAAGTTTCTGTGTACAGATCTAGTATGTAAAACTCCATATTTATTGTATCCATATTAGTCTTGGAAAAGGGTCTGTCCATCTTTCTTGTGTAAGACGGTAGCTTTACACTTAAAAGAGAAATACAGTATCTGTGTTATGAAATATTACAGTAAAATTTTGTTTACTGACTTTACCATTGCTTACGTTGTGCCTTCTTGATGCAGCCCCAGTAGTCGGAGAGGCGCTTCGCTCCTTCCTTTTAGTACCCTTCCAGCTGCGTTCAGCTTGAAAGGATCCAGTGGTGGTGGTGTAGGCCCCCGGGGTTTCACCTGCCACGAGAGAAAGCAGACGCTCTTCAGGCTCACTTGGAGCAAAACCTTCCATTTCAAAACATCCAGCGATGGCAAAGTGGGGAGGGAGTCCTTCAGCTTTCTGTAGAGCGAGCATCCAGCCACCTCGTGTTTTTAATACTTCCTAACTAACGTCTGAAGACTTCCCTGAGGGAAAATAGCAAAAGGGTTAAGATGAAATATTTTTTTATTTGTAATCTTGAACTATAAAACCACTTTTTATTGACATTAAAATGTTGTTACGCAAGAAAGGAATAATTCTTTGTGTGTTCTTAATTACAAAATCCGGCATACAGTTGGTGAAAATGCCACTGCTGTAATGAGGATTTGGCATTACCAATTACCATCATCTTCTTAAGAGACTGCATTTCACATGATCTTTGTTTACGGGTAGACAAAGCCAATTTCTCCCTAAATACAGCTTTGTCTTATTCACACAGGGGGAAAAAAGGGACTAGACGTCTTACACATATAATCAATGCACCCTTAAATCAACAAACTCATCAATATGGGCATACAAGACTTAGACGGATCCCAGAATAATGAAATTTAATAAAATTCTGTTTGCACATAGTGAAAACAGTTTAAAGTTACCAATAAATTTTTAAGGTCTTCAACTACTGCAGGAGATATGTCTCACATGTTACAGGGTTTACACATTCCTAAAAGTTTCAAATTGGCCTGGGATTCGTGCTGTAATTTTTAAATAGTGTTGGTTTTCTGCTGTGTCCTTACATCACACTCTTACAGAAGTTTCTAAAACCATTTTAACAACCAAATTCCAGTAGAAAACTGGAAGATGCAAGTTAAAGTCATGATCGCTTTTATGGAAATAACAAGGTTGAGCACATATAAAACAACTAGAAGAAAAGGGCAGGAATTAAATCTTGAAAGAACCCAAACAGGAGCGAACCTGGATGTGAGCTGGGCTGTGTTGGTCACAGATTAACTTCTGTACCCAGCTCAACAAAGTAATTCATACCTTGTAGCACTCGTATTCAAGAGCAGTACTACCCTAGATCCATTTTTAACTTTACATCGCCTTTTGTACTATACTCACATTGTACTCATTACATTATTCCATTACAGGGTGTTGTAAAACTGTAGGCGATGTTGAGTGAGCTTTATTAACTTCCAGAAAGAGCACTTCACTACCAGAAAATCATTTATATTACTATGATTATCAGCCAATTGTACTAATCCAGCAATTAGAAATGCATATAATAGAAAGGAGAAATTACTCCCAGCTCAGGTATGAATGTTGGTATAATTCCTTGCCGTGCAGAGCCTCACTGGGGGCCCAGGCACCTGAACCACACGAAGCACTCTCAACTCGCATTGAACTTAATGAGAGTTAAGAGTACTCAGCCCCCCACAGCATCCAACTTCAAATTTGTGAGTGTCTTACGTGCAACCGCTGTGTAAAATGTCACTGTGCGTGTGTATGTTCTTTTTATAGCCATGTAGTGATGTCAACCTGTCTTATATCATTATCATTTAGACCAAACATGTGAAATTACCTGAACCAGCCAAAGTTAAAAAAAAAAAAACAAACCTCAAACCATTGCTGCACTACATATGCTTTGAGAGCCTGAAAATGTTGGTAGTAGAGTCAGGTGAAGATTTGTAGTTAATGAACTTGAGAAATTTTGCATCAGTTTTAGTGTTTTTAAAATGGACACTTAAACTTAGCAGTAAACTAGAACTATGCTAATTAATTTGAACATATTTGTCTACAAAAAAAAAAAAGAGACGATTAAATCAAATAAGTTTTACTCTGCTGTAAACCATCTCCAAAATCTTGAATGCCATCACAAGTATTACCATTTCTCTGAGTTTTATAAGAAGCAAGGAGTAAGAAATTGCTGTTTGCATGCCCTGAAGCCCTGATTTTACTAACCATTTAGAAACTCCAGAGATTTACTGTATACACATCTTAAATATTTACTTGACTAGCAATTTGTAGTGTGCTCATGTTCTAAAGATTAATTCCAGGAAGTCACTAATTTAACAGAAAATTCAACCTGGTGAATCGGGCGATCTACATGTGTCTCTTTTCTATTCTAGGTGTTTTGAAGACATCAGGGTCAAGAGATGGAAGTGGTATCTTGGAGAATGCCAAAACAACAGATATGTCATAAAGAGGAATGTTAAGACATATGTCACTTGGTAAGTTCACAGCAGGACAGCAGAGAGAAAGGACCAAGAGAATGGGTACCGACTGGTAGTGAGCAATCATCACACTTAGCCAGGCAAAGCAGGGTCTCCACTAACAATAAAAATATTACAGAATCACAGAATCACAGAATCTTCTAGGTTGGAAGGGACCTTAAAGATCATCTTGTCCAACTGTCAACCTAACTGACAAAAATAGTCACCCACACAACAAACAAGGAGCATCATCACTAAACCATACCTCCCAGCACTTCAACCCGTCTTTTGAACACCTTCAGGGATGGTGCCTCAACCACCTCCCTGGGCAGCCCATTCCAATGGCTGATAACCCTTTCAGTGAAAAAATTTTTCCTAATATCCAGCCTGAACCTCCCCTGGCGCAACTTGAGGCCATTTCCTCTTGTGCTGTCGCCTGTGACTTGAGAAAAGAGACCGGCCCCCACCTCTCTACACCCTCCTTTCAGGTAGTTGTAGAGAGCAATAAGGTCTCCCCTCAGCCTCCTCTTCTCCAGGCTGAATAACCCCAGTTCCCTCAGCCTCTCCTCATAAGACTTATTCTCCAGACCCCTCACCATCTTTGTCGCCCTTCTCTGGACTATATTAGCAGATAGTTGCAAATACATCTAAACATGTTCAAGTGGAGTTGGGAGGAAACTACACTTTCCTAGAAGATAAGTGTTTGTGGTCCTGACCATTATACTGTTTCCCTTCCCTCTAGCCTGTTTCCAAATGGATATTCCTTAAGCTGCCTCTACAACTTGTGCAGGAAAAAAAACAACTAACTAGGACTGTGACCAGACCTGAGAGAAGGTTAAACTCCGTGCCTCTCCTCTGTCAGCATCTAACAGTTTCACTTTAATCATGTGTGTAACCAACATCTATACTATGTGTCAGGATACATGGGTGTCCTGCACTGGCACAAGGCTGTGACCACGTTTTTATTCTGAATTAATTCCTTTTATTTTTAAGTTACGTTGTCTCTTTATTGTCTTGTCCCGAGTCACTAGTAATGAGGAAATTGCACTCCCCTTGCCAAAGAATCCTTCTCTTCAAGTCAACAGCAAACATCTCAGAGATTTGCCAGTGCATGATTAGGCTGCACTTCAGATGGTGTAAATTATTGCAGCTGAATTGGAGTAAACACCACTGGGCCTGTTTACTCAGGGATCAATTTTTAACAACTCTGTCAGACACCCTCTGGCAAATCCAGCACAGCTGTTGAAACATTAAAAGGCCAGGGCAAGTGTCTCTCCTCAGTGCACCCAGGCACAGTCTGGCATCTTCACACCTATTCTCATCAAGAGGGTGCAAGCAGGTGCTGGCTAAAGGCTGGGTACAAATACAGCTACAGTAAGGATGTGGCATGGACAACTTCTGTGAGACCCACACAGATGCTTCCCTGTGATCTGCCAAAAGCCCTCACTAGAAAAAGAATCGACAAGTAGCCTGTAGCTCTTCTCTTTCAACTCAGACCTCGATTGATTTCTCTCTGCGATACGTGATGTTTGCTGGTGATGTGAGTGTCTGATTTTGAAGGAGCAGGTTCCCCTGCTGTCTATATAGCAATATTGGTTTTGGAATGTGGACTCTATTAAATGTCTGCGTTCCCCATTTGGGCTTTAATAAGCTACAGCATGACCTACCTGTCGCTTCTTAGGACAAGACCTAAACCAGAGACGCCACTTTTGCTGCAACTGGTCTCAGATTTCTTGATCTGTAGTATTTCATCCTGAGCCACAACTCCCAGCTCCTAGGCCATAGCTGAAATAAAACAAATTTACTAGGTTCAGGGATGCCCTGCCCTGCATTGATTACTGCTGCTGTTCACACTTTTGCCCCTTTTACTTCTCAAGCTGTAGCTTCAGGTTGCTATAAATTATGCCCTGAGGCTAGAGCAGCCCACAGCTGGTCCATATCAGCCAGTCCCCTGCCAGAAAGTCTGACCACAGTGTTTTGCATACAAGCAAATCCCAATGCACATCACATGCATTTCAGCTCAGACAACGTACTTAGCCTGAACACAGTCTGGCCCACCCCCAAAACAAAGAAATACCATAAAATGAAGAACATACCATGTTTTACGTTTAGCTAAACATTCTGTATGGATTCTTAATAAACAGATTTATCTTGCCTTGGGTATACTGACATGTATGTTAAACAGAATATAAAATGAATTTGTCACTATCCAGCTTGTTCCAGAAGTCCTCATTTTTTGCAAGATAATCTTCACTAAGGTTTTATAAACACTTTAGTTTAAACCTGTAAACTGCTTTTCAAACATATGTTTAACACGGGGTTGGTTTCATCAAAACAGAATAAAAAAATGCTTAGTTTTAGTTTAAGTGACTTGCCAAAAGCGAGGGAAACCAAACAACCTGTAAGTAAGAGTGCTTACTCAAGGTAGAGCCTTCAGCTGATTTATCTGACAGGCCACTGCTTCTGCTGCTTTTGAAAGATCCTCTGAGACCAGTTACATCTCATAGCAGGGAATCCTTACCTTGCTTTCACGGTTTATAATACAAACACTCGGTGTTCATCCATCTTAGGTGATGGGGAGTTTTGTGGTCAGTCTCTAGTTGTGAATGTTAAATTATGAATGTCTTGAAAAAGTGTGTCTAGAATTGTCTTCCTGTGTCTTAAGGAATCTTCCTTTGCTTGTAAGGGGTCTTGACACCTACAGATAGCAAATTTTAATCATACATAAAATACCAGAGAGTTACATCACATAGAAACCATTTATGGCTTACATTGTTGAGAATGAGACCACTATCTTAGGCCTAGACACCAGATTGCTAACTCTATCACTGGCTTTGGATAAAAACAAGCTACTTTAAAATACTTCAAATTTATTTTCAGGTCATTTTATGTGGAATGTCTGTGGGTGGATGAGCAAACAGCAACAAGGATGTAACAGCATGTAATTAATTGATTTGATGTTCATGTTTCATTCCAGAAATGCTGAATCAAAAAAAAAAAAACACCACAAAACCACCTTCTGGTGAAGATGTTGATGGTGTTCTGTTTGTCCCTCCTCCGCTTCTCCTCTCTATAATGGCCACACTAGTCAAAATGTTAAGAGCTGAATGGTGATTTTCAGCTATTCCATGTCAGATCTTCAGAAACCATGCTAGCTGAATGATGACAAGGCTTTACATTCCCACAGTTCAGTCACAGAAACAAAACTTGTCCTAAGATGAGTCAATTAGCTAGGCATGCTTAGTTTTCTTTAGTAATAGTAGGCTTGTTTTCCCCAATAAGGTCAAATGTTAAGTCCTGTTTGGTTTTGTGGCTGTACTCCTTAGTGTATTTGAAATCCATTACCATGTGTGAGCCATTTGTGCTTGAAACAGGCCAACTGCAGGCTGTTTGTAAAGCCAAATACCCCTAGCATTTCCTCTTTTTGTTAAGTTATGTGGTTACAACATCCCTCTTGGGCTTTATAAGTTACATCAAAACCAGTTTTAGGTCACTCACATCTAAAGTGCTTTGGTGTCGGTACCTAAATAGGATTCCTCCTTCTGAGAAACAAAACATTATTTGACATAGGTGACAGTTGCATCTCATATACAGCAGTTCTCAAATAAAATTGTTGGCCATTAAGAGTCGCTCCCCACCCCATCAGCTCACTACTCCATACGCAGCCATGGAAGTGAGTTTGCAGCCCCCTCGTTAGCAAAGGGCTTGTCCCCACTACCGCAGCAGCCTGCTCTCATGAGTCGTTTTCCCCGAGAGGCAGGAGTGATGGCTGGACCTGCCCATGCAGTGAGGCACCTGCATGGAGGCAGCATCACCGCAAACCTCCACCCACATGCCAGGAGCACAGGGCCATGGCACCCCAGCAGGGACTGTGCAGGTGCAGATTCTGAAAAGTTGGGCACCATTGACAGGCCCTACCCAGAATTTACGTGGAAAGCCACCACCTCAAGATTTTTCCCCCTTCCCATCCCTTATGACCAAGGCATGCCAAGTCAAAACTGAAGTCAAAATGAAGGAGTAAAGGGCACCTTTTGACAGAAATTTTTGACAAATCAATTTGTTAGTAGAAAATCCCCACAGATCTATTCCTGGTAACACTGAAAAACTCCCCAGCCCAAGTTGCTTCCCTTCTGGCACTCACCTGTCCACCACAGGATGGAGCAACAAGGCAGCTGGCTTCTGCAAGGCTCTCCGTGCCTCCAGCAGACTTTACGCGCAGAGAGACCATGTCCTTTATACAGCACAATCACAAGGGCTTTGTTCTGAAAATGTGAGTGTAAGGCAAAGGAGGTGGTGATGCCCACTTCTCATCCACTGCACTGGTGGCACCGAGGGGCGCAAGGAAGGGGACAATCACCATCCTCTCCTGGGAGGCTGAAGCACACTGGTGCTGCACCAGGTCTCCATCAGCCAGGAACTAAGTAGCAAGGGAGGTGATTCCCTGCAGCTTCCCTGGTAAGCAGGCACCTTCATTAATTATGCTGCTTGCTCCTGTGCTGTAGCCCAGCCCAGCTGCAGGCACTCACTGGCAGAAACAAAGCCACAACACAAAAAAGAGTGAGAGAGAACTCAGGCTGCAAGACAGAGCGAGCCAGGGAGAGCACCACGCTGTAACCAGGCTCTCAGGTTGTCCAGGCACAGGAAGGCAGCCTCCTGTACATCAGCCCTGGTACCCAGCCTTAGGTGTGTCCCTGGTTTGCAAAAACAACCCAGCAGCAGAAGCAACTGTTGAAACAGTGCCTCTTTCCAAAGCAGAAGTCATGTTTTCATCTGAACACCAGAGTTTTGTTCCACCAACAAACCAAGTGGGTGGTTCAGCACCATTTTTAACACTTAGAGGTTTAAATTGTGTTTCTTGTTTTGTTTATTCCCATACCTGTAATCATCTGTGACTCTTTCTTATTTACAGTGTTTCAGAGCAAGAGCTCACACACCTAATGCTGATTAATTCTGCTGGACTGAGTAACTGGCTCCCCTGTGGATATCCTGTTTTCCTGTGAATCATCATTCCTCCTTGAGACATCCTCCAACTCAGATCAAAGATCCAGAACGTATTAGATATGAAGACATCAGACAGCTTAAACAGATTAGAAAAGACATACACAAAGAAAAGCAACCCCATTTCTCCCTCCTGTCCTGCTGAAAATTGGCATGGTGAACACAATCCTAAGCAATAAAAGAAACAGTAGGCAGAAAAAAGGAGAGGCTCTGGAAGTTGCTTAGTTTATCCAGAGTTTTCTACAAATTATCCTTTCAAAGTATTTGCAATTTTGTACTTACTTAGTTCTCCCTTTCCGTTGGAAACTCTTCAGGATAGATCCTCATCTGATGGAAGATGACACCCGCAAGCTTCAGCAGAGCTGCACCAACTGCACGGCGGAGGACTTGGTACTATCCATTTAACTATTGAGCCTTGCCTACAAACACACAAATTAAAGGAACATGAAAACACATGATCTGGTTTTTTTCAAGTTTATGCAGTCTGTTGTGTTCTTGATGGTTTTCGTCGATTTTCCATTTCAATATTTGAACAACTGAAAAGATTCTGTACCAGTGAAATGCCAAAACCTAAGGTCAAGAGGTCAAACTAGATTACCTTAATAGTCTCTTCTCCCCTTACAATCTTTGAACACAGGTTTTATCTGATAAAGCAGTTAAAGCTGAAACCATGACAAATCTTCATTTCAGCACCATTTGATCTTGAAGATTGCACAAATAATTAGTCTTTTAAGATTCTGAACTTTTTAAAAATAGATTTTTAAACTCTCCTTTTAATGGGTGTCTTTTAATCCTTATGTTTAAGCATAAGAGCCGTGTTTGATCCAAGACACTGGACAATGTGTTTGGATAGCTGGAGAGCCATTTTTATGGGAGTGTCTGAACAACATACTGTGTTTTTTCAAGAAGTTGTTCCTCCACTCAGTGGAAATAGCTGAATGAAGGACCACAGGACTGTCCTTTTTCTGTCATTAAGCTCAAATAAAAGGAAGATAAAATGCGTTGCTCTTACATCTTAGAGTGGATTGTATCTGGCTTTTAGTCCTGGACTTCAAACTCTTCTATTAGCCTTTTGTGCTTGGAAGGGAAAAGAAACACTTTGAACCTTACCCACTGTGAATGGTCACTGGAAAGCAATGGAGGAAAGAATACCCAGCAGGAATATGCTCTGCAAATGCTCAGCAAAATCATTAGATCTGAATATTCTTAATCAATGAGGTTTTGGCAGAATTAAGAGTGTTTTTTTTATCTAGCCTATAGTTTGTCCAAGTCCCTAGGTGGGGTTCAGCTGTTTATATTTTCTTTGAGGAAAAATGTCAGCAAGGTCTGATCCTGACTTGTTCTCTGCCTCCAAAAAACCCCCAATGTGGGAGTATCAGCATGTGGCACAGTCATGGGAGGCACATGAACACAGCTGTCAGGGCCACCACAACTCTCCAAGGGAGGTGGGACTGGGTTTGAAGGAATAAGGGCCAAATAATGTGAAAAAGATCCGCCTTCTGCATAGAGACAGAAACCCTATTGCTTAGTCCTGAGGAGAAATGGATACTCTTTTCATTTTTCATAATCCATGGTATTCCTGTCTTTTTCCTGATCTTATGCCTTTAGTTGGACCCATGTATGCAATGCACATGAAATCAGCGATGCACCACAAACAACGACTGATAAGGTCATTTTCCAACACTCGAGAGAAAGAGGAACTGTTGGTGTAGCCAGTCTGGAAAGCAGTTTTGAGGTGCCAGGTAGGCATGCCAGAACACGTGCTTGAAACTTCACTAGCCATGTAGGATATTATATCCCATCCTTAGCCTCATCTGATGGCATCCAGGGCAGCAGTGAGGGAGCTGAGGACTGACAGCATTTTAAACAGGTGCCACCTAGTGCCTTGAATGAGTTCAAACTCTCACTTCATCCTATTAGGGACCATTAATTGAGCACATTTTGTATTTTGCATGTGTACAATAACGAATTTTTGTCAGCCTCATGCTGGAGTACGGAGCAGACTGTAAGATGCCTGCATCATGGTGATGCCAAACAGGGGGAAATCTAGCTCAAGCTAGGTTTGTGCATGTCCTTCTAGGAATTATCTTCTGAGTTTCTGGCACCTGCATAAAAAAGGGAGCCGTCCAGAAAGGGGTTGGACTTTGGTGCTTTGGAAGGTGAGGGAGAATATTTTTAAAATAATGGTTTGGGCCAGAAAATGAAGACAAAGCCTGGCCTCACTGCTGTGAGGAACAGTCTCCTACTGCCTTCAGGAGGGCCAGGATTTCACTCACGGATTTTTAAGGCTGAAGCACAGGGGGCATCTTACAACAGAGCATGGATATTTCTGGCACAATGGGGCTTGCTGTTAATGACACCGGAAAGTGATTTTTTTTAAGCACTTTTTTTTTTTAACCTGGCATTGCTCCTTCAAGCAAATTAAATTCTGATACATTTGCATTTCTACGTGTCATTAACCCAGACACCTACTGCAGGGCCTAAAGCTTGTGTCTGCTGGCAAGACTAAATCCTACTAATGCGCTTTTCCGAACGCACTGAGGGAAGCTGGAGTCTCTCCTTTTGAAGCTGACTCGCTACTTTGACTAATTGCTTCTGGTAACAGTTAATAGCATTTTGCAAAGGCACTTCATCTGCTGACAGCAGATTGATGTAAGGAAGGGACACAGTTCACATTTCCAAAGGGAGCATCGGGAAATCCATTACCAGCTTCATTAATCTGTTAATAATAAAATTAAAGTACAAATAAAATGTGACAAATTGGGTTCTGTTGTGAAAGTCACTTTAACAGGAGGCTCTGAATAAAGGTCAAAACAGACTCTGATTTCTGCTGTGTTTTAATAGTAGAATCAGAGGAGAGCATTGTAGAAATACTGTAATTAATCTGGCGATACTATAATTGTCCCCAAACGATACAGAAAGAGTTTGACAAGTGATTTTTTTTTTTTTTCCTTGAGAACATTTACAAAACCTGGAACATCAAGCTTTGTCACACAACATTTAACTGCTAATCCAATTTCACTGGAAGCTCTCAACAATGTAGGTACAGAGATAGGCTTACTGTCCCTGCCTGCGTACTTGCAGCTGCCACCTCAGTCAAAACTCAAGTTTACCCAGCACAGGGGCAAATGAGAGAAGAAAAGCCCTGCAGGTGCAGATGTTCTAACAGCAGTCACAGAAATGAGCCTGACATTGAAAACAGGCTTCATCGAAGAGTCAATAAGCCAGATCAGACAGCTCCTTTCTGGCAAGGACAGGGTTGGCTTGCCAAGGAGACCTTGTTTAAAATGAAAACTGTATAAAATTAGCTTACCATCCACCCATTCTTATCAGGGTATCCCCCAAATCTATCAGTGCCCCCTGTATCTTTAACATCAGCCTTCCTAGCCACATCCTAGGTTAGCAGGATATCTTAGTCTAGCCTCTACACTCAAATACTCCTCCTGCTGGGATCTCAGCTAATACCACAGAAACAAAACTGCTACGAATGAGACCGATTCCAACCTCTCTGAGGCACCGTGTTAATGGCTTCTGTAGCAAAACATCCGATTTGTCTAAGTTCCTGCTTATAGCAGTTGAGCAATTGCCCCAAAAGCAATCAGTTGCAGAGCATCATTTGGGGACGCAGCTGCAACGAATGGAGCGCTTCCTGCAGCCTGTCAGAGCCGCGGTCTGCTGGGAGCACCTGAACCAAAGGCACACTTCGTTAGGAACCCAGCCAGGCAAACAAATATATAAGCACGTTAATGCAAAGTACTTGAAGAGAACGGCTCATTAAATCAAGCAGGATGACTACCTAGAAAACTGATAGCCCTATTTTAAAAATCAGCAGGAGGAAAAGGAGAAGGCTGTCCTTTTGGTTTATGCAAGTCAAAAGGAGTCTTTACAGCCTTCCTCTCCTCCAGTCATTTTTGGGATAATCTCAGACTCCAAAGACACCAGATTTGCAGTTTGAGAAGCACCACATGGAGTTACTTATGTCAGGAAAGAAGCAAGGGGAAGGGGGAGGATAAAGAGCTGGGGAAGGAGGACTCGTTTGTCACCTGGTCTGGGAGAGGAGTTTGCAGTTACTTGTAGGAGGTGTGAACAGTGGGGTGAGGAGTTGCCCTAATGTTGATGGGCTGGGCACCTGGGAAAGGCAAGAAGCCTGGAGCAGATGCCCATCAGTGGGAAAGCACTGGAAATCAGATATAAGATGGGCTTAAAGGCCAGGAGCTGTGTGGGTTGTGAGATGAGCTGTTAAGCAGAGAGGCAGAGTACAGGAGGGAAAGAGGGGAGCAAGAAGGCAGCCTGCTCTGGATGGAGTAACCTTTCATAAGTGCAGGGCTCTCTCGGAAGAAGGGGGAGGACAGAGGCTCACACAGACAAGCAGATTTTTTGCCACAACAGATAGTGAGAGTCCTTCTCAAGCTCAGCCTGATTTCAGCTACTTGCTTTACGCTTAGTTTAATGTTTAAGATCTATGGCTTACTAACGTCAAGTCAGATCTCCAACTCTTATTCTAGCTTTGATTTGAGCTCTACATGTGCAGCTATCAATCCAGTTCAGTTTGGGTTCATGGACAGCTAAGTTGTCCACGCCTGGGAGAAGATTTTGGGCAAAGTGATGACAGGCAGGTCTAGGATTGCAGATGCCTTGGGAGCTGGTGGTTGCTTGATTTGAATGTTTTTAGTTGAGGACTCTTTGCTGCCTGTCGTCCGCTCAGCCAGAGCTCACAGAGCACTGCTCCTGCTAACGGAGTGCTATTTCCTACCTGCTTGTTCCCATTTCCTATCACTATCCCTTTTCCTGTCCTTCTGAAATTGGTGTCTCTCAGACAGCGTTTGTACAAGGAGGGCTGAATAACAGAGGCAGCCTCCACTTGGTTTCTCTCTTTCCTCCTGCTTGTATCTCTTCTGTCTAGCAGAAATTCATGCATATTTGGCACAGTGTGAGCCTGAGGAAGACAGTCAGAACAATTGTAAAAGACCATCCCCAGCACTGTTTGATACCTACCAGGCTGCTGAGTCTTCCCCGAAATCTTTGCTAGCCACATCTGCTGCATCACAAGGAGGGGAGCTTCATACTGCTATTGCCTACATATAGGATCCTGCAGCTGCCTGTTGTAAAGGCAATCACGCCCCAGGCTTTTCTTCCATTCCTTTTCATATAATATATGCCCCGTTCATAATTGCTTTCTCTTTCACAAAGAGTTCTGCCTTGCAAAGTATTAGAGAGAACAATCCTATGCAGAGAATTAATACCAAATAGGGATGACTTCAGGCCTGAATGCCCAAACACGGCTCCTGTAGTCCAGTCAGTACAGAATAACTCCGGGATCAGCATTTGCTCTAAGTAATTCCAGCTCAGTACTTTTCTGCTTCAAAAACAACATCTGCAAAAGCAAAATCCTAGCCTTGATTTTTGGGGTGCTTCTACTTGTTTGAACAGATCCCAGGATGAGCTGCAACCAGCCCAAGAGAAGTCTGGTATCTATTGCTCTAACAGTTTTATTGCCACCTTCTTTCTCTTCCTCTTTGGACTGTAAATGTTGACTAGAAAGCATTTTTAATCAAGGTTCATGTATCCTGAAACCCTGTATAATACATTTCTCCATAAAGGTAAAAGAAGATGCCAGGGAAAAACTCTGCCCTTGTGTTCATATCCTCATTGCTCATGACAGCACTGAACTTCATTTTTTTGTTGTCTCTTCAGACAGTGAGTAACAGAGCACATGTACCATTCTGCATGGAGGACTGGAATTAGGATAAACAAAGCAAAGAAACATTTATTCCATGTTGAAAAATGAGGGATCAGAGTGTCTATTTAGAGAGTTAATTGCTTTTTTTGTTTTTTGGAGGTGGCAGCATCTCAGCACTGTGCCAACAATGCACAGTGGGCACAGAAAACTTAGGAGTTTCTCTCTGTTCCTCCATACGTACTCTCTACATAGAACCAGACACCTCCTGCTCTACAGATTTTTCTTACAGCAAGGGACAGCAAAGCAAGCGTGACATCAGAGCCAGTGGGGTTGGGGCTCCATGGATGAGCAAGAGGTGCAGCCCCAGAGCCCTGAGCAGGGAGACAGCCCCGAGTCCAGATCTCTGGGCAAGTCCACAGCAGACAGACAGGTCCAAGTTCAAACCAAGACATCAGCCCACGGGTTGGGGTCAAGGTCAAAATGGTTCATGACCAGGCAGAAGTGGGGTCAAGGAACCCAAGTGCAGGTGAGGCCAAGCACCAGAGCCTCAGCTGAAGTTCAGTGTTCAATCTAAGCATCTAAATGCATGTCTATAGGAACAACCCTATGTGGCAAAACTTCCCATGCAGTCTAACTGTCTACTGTCTCTCCTTCAAGATGCTCTTTTTTTAGCTTGCCGGGGCTTCTCACAGTAAAACAAACCAGTAGGAAATAAAAAACAAATAAGCTTTTTGCAACAAAATAGTAGCCTGCCCAAAGGAGAATAGAGAGAAGTGTAGCTGTTGATAGTTTGGAAACCGAAGCTATTATAGGAAGAGCCCAAATAAGGGATTTGTGGAGGGGGGGGGTGAGGGAGAGAAAATGGCTTATTCAATCTGGCAAAGAACAAAGAAGACGCAAAAAGCAAAAGCTGGAAGCTTAAGTGAGACATGTGATGTTACAAAGATAGAAGGCAAATGAGGATACATAGCCAATATGAGAACAGTTTAATATGGGCTGTTCCCCATTCCTTTCAGTCTTATGTCAATATTTGGATAACTTTCTCCATGGCTGAATCAGAACTTCTGAGCTTGATGCAGAATTTGTTGAATGAGACTCTTTGGCCCTGTATTAAACGAAAGATAGAGAGTCCTAACGCTCCCTGTGGCTGTAAAATTTATGAGAATATGAATTTATGGGACTGAATTTTACTTTTAAGATCTCAGTCTCTGGCGGGCTGCCTAGTGTGGAGTGGGGGGAGGACACATCACCTGAAGGCATATGCATTGGACACTGAGCCGTTACTGCTCGTTCTTCTGGCCATTACTCAAGGCACTCAATCTGTCACCAGTATCCTCAGCTGAGAGCTGGACCCAATGGAGTATTTTCAACACATTTTCTAAGGGAGAGTTTCTATCTTAAAGTCCAAGCCTGAAACCTGCCATGATTTATGTGTTTGCCACACTACAAGTACTGCCACTGAGAGGCTTGGGGAACGGTCACCAAGTCAATCGCAAACCATAAAATCGGGTGTATATCAAGTCGAAGGGACAATTCATTGCTGCTAAGCAAAATTCAGCAACATGAGTGAGTCTTTGAAGTTTCATTGAAGGATCAGAACAAGCATAGATGAGAAAACACCGAGTCCTGCTTTGCAGTCATGGGCACTATGGTCTCTTAACCAGTTTGAAACCATAGATTACACCTTGACGCTAGAGGTGTAAGGGAAGATCCATTGTGAGAAAAGATACTAATACCTGCTGGATGGGATTTCCTCTTCACCAGTTGAAGGTAGCATCTCCCAGGCTTGGCAGGACCCCCGGTCAAGTTCCTCCAGGCAGCAACACAAGGCTATCAGCTGGGGCATGGGGACAGGCTTGCAAGCAGAGGACCACTAGTGGCAGGCTGAGACCTGAAATGCCGGCATCCTTGTGCCTGGAAGAAGGAAGGTGTCATCAGAGCCAGGAGTGTAGCCAGAGGATGGGAAGAAAGGTGGGACTGCTAAGGTCAAGAGCTCAGGGATCAGCAAGCCTGGACATTTCGGAGTGAAGGAAATAAAGCCCTGGTGTAGTACAGGGAAGCAGGACTTTATAACCTGTCTCCTCTCTGTAAGCAAGGTCACAGCAGAGACATATGTGTATTTATATATACAGGTCTCTGCCTCAACTGGCTCCCTCTAAGGAGGAAGAAAGGCAGTCAAGCCCCCAGATTAGCTAGTGCTTTGGCAGCCCAACATCTGCAAGAAAGATACAGCTGGGATCCAAGTATTAAGTCTTTGTCAGGACCATGAGACCATCCCTAATGGGATCTCTTCCCCCCTCCCTCTCCTCTCCTCTTACACTTGCCAGTCTTAATTTCATTTTAGCTATAAGAGTCTCTTTGCTCCTGACATTTCCTCATGTCTTCCCTAAGTAAACCTATGTTTATGACATTAAATACATTCACTGTGTATTGGTATCAAGCAATTGCTTTTAAAAGATAATCTTCCCCTTTCCATTATTACCCCTTTATTTCCTCTGCGATTTTTCTTGGTGAGTTATATGGGGAAGAAATTACTGCTATTTTGTCTCGAGGTTTCCCTGAGGAACCTTGTCAAAATGAACAGTCCTTTTACTAAGCTTTCCTGTACAGATTGAGCAGAAATAAAACAAAATAATTAAATGGCTCCTGAAAGAATTTAGTGCCTAAAACTCTGGGGAAAAATAATGGTTCCATCTATGCCATTGTGAAAGCCTTTATTGCAGCGCAGCGTTTCTGTTCTGCATAGGGTCTTACAGTGTCATCACCATCACCATCAGATCTGAGTACTTTCCAGGTGTGCAGTTAAGTGATGCGACAAACAAGTGTCGTCTGTTTGTTCTTGCAGCCTCTCCCCACTGGGAGAAACCTGTGTGGTTGAGAGCCTTGTTTTGGAAGTATATTGCTTTTGTTTGAAGCATATTTTTATTCTGGGTTTTAGTATACTTGTTATCATCTGTTTCTGTTAAAGAAGTTTAGTGGCACACGGGGAACGAGCATGCCTCCTAGCTGCCAATTCTCCTGAGTGCTTTGTTCTTCAATAGGAGATGGAGAAAAAAAATGAGTATTTGCAAAGTTCTTCTCAAGTTAGAAATAAGACGCTGAATTTCACACTAGTGATACACATAGTCTGTGCCTACAAACCAGCACGATGAATAATGCCTTGGCACACTCTGCTGTGCAAAAACAACCTGCATCCATGCAAAGTTACGGTTACCACAGCCCCAAGTACAGTTGCAGCATAGAAATCCTGAACACTCTTTGTCTTTTTGTGGTTTTGTTGTTTTGTTTGTTTTTTTTTAACAAAGCACGTGAGGGTTCCTCAACTTTGGAATTTGCCTTTCTCATTGGATCAAACAGTCCAAAGCTGTTTAGTTTTCTGGCTCGTCTGTTCTCCCCCCTACTTCTCAAAGAGCGAGAGTTAATGGGCTCAGTCCTGCAAGACACTGATCTTTCTGGCACGGGTTCAGCAAACCACTTATGCAAGTGTTTAAATTTTAACCACGTATAGGAGCTGAGTCCCTGAGGTTAATGGGACTGTAGCGGGGACTGCGGTGGGATCATCTTCCCTGACCCCGTGGCCTGACCTGCCAACATCCCTCTGACTCCCACACTGCCATAGCTTGGGGGTGACCTCAGCACATGTTTGTTTATGCCGGAGTTAAAACGAGTATATGGGGACTTTGCTGGATCTGCCTTAGACTGCCCAGCCCTGAAGTTCAGATCTCCACAGAGCAGTCACCATGGAAAAGCAGATGGGTGGAACTGGCTCCATGGTTTTGTCTGATGGCAGCCAACTACCTTGGCCATGAACCCCTCCAGGGACCTATGACATGGGCAGCCCTCTGGGACAGTGGGTGTTTCTTACTGACCCACTACATCTTCTGAGGGATTTCTGCCTTCTGAAGGGGTCGCGTGGTGCAGGGGGGTGAGGCTGGCACCATGGTTTCAGTACTTGAGCTCATGGGGATCTGGACCTCAGCAGTTTCCTCCAGTGTCGTGCCGTAATGGAAAAAGGCCACTACCCTGAGCAACAACTGCAGCATGAACAGGAGCTCTCACAAGCTCTTTTCTTCTGTATAGAAACAACAGCAAAATTCATCTTAGGCATGATCACTCACAAAACTTATAAACCTTCTGAGACAGCCAAAACTGACCCATCCTTTTTCTTGAGGGGGGTGGGGGAAACAAGCTCCATTGGTCCCAATTACTCTGTTCACTAGAAAAAATATTTTCATCTAATGACCTCAGTAGGGAGTGAGTGGCTCCTTTTGTGTATTAAATTAAAATCTCAGGGGGAACATTAGGCCCTGTAATTTGTATTTCTCAGATGCAATTTAAGTCTTTCATCAAAAAAACTCATAATAACTGAGCTCTGTGATACCCAGTAGATTCATTTTCATGTGAAGGATGAAAATAGCCAGCAACATGTTAACAAATTCCACAGGGAGACCAATTGTAATGATAAAAATAATCTGACGTGGGCATGAATTTGCAAATACAGTGCTTTATGGATCGCTGGAAAGGAAAAGGCTGTCTTAAACATTTTCTTTATATTAAAATAGAGGTAGGGAAGAACTCCCTAGCCTCCTCATTAAGAATGGAGTACATGAGCAGTTTCCAAAGAACAGAGGCCCAAAATGATGCATCTCTGTATCTTATTTGAAAAAAAATCCCATGTACCAGGAAGACTGCTTGTGTAAGTTGTCATCAATTCTACTGCATTAAATTGACTGAGAAAAGGAGAGGTCTGCATGAGTAACAACTTCCACATACTGGTAACTGCAGAGAAGAATGTAGTTTCCTGTGCAAATAACTGATGCTGGATCAAACCTCATGTTTTGAGGAGCACATGTATAATTTCCAAGGTTTTGGGACTTTTCCAAGAAGTGCCTGTGAGTGTAGGAGAGACCCCAGCCTCAAGATGCTTCCTCCACCTGCGTCCTGGGAGAGTGCTGGTATGTTAGAAAACGTCAGCAGAATTAGACCTTAGACACAACTTAGCCCCTGGGGTGAGTAGGCACTTTCTGGTGGGAAAAGCAGCATTCCTTCCTCTCCAGCTGGAAACCTTATCTAACACCATTGCTTATTAAAACACCCTGATGGATGCATGCCCCTGCAGTGGTTCACCTCCTAAGGAGAAGCAGAGACTTTAGTAGGCTCCCCACTCGGAGCTGGGGGTGTTTCTGCGCAGCCACGGTCTGAATGTAAAGCTACAAGCTGATAGCTCAGGTCAAGGAGAGGGAGCATATGGCTGGGCGTAAAGATGGAGGTGGGAGAATAGAAGAAAATACAACAAATTGTTCATCAAAATGACAGATACAGTCTTTGCGCTACGCTGCAGTTCAAGCGACAGTAAAACATCTGGCAGTCTCAGAGAAGGAACAGTGGCTTTGCCAGTATATTAGCAGCTTTGCCTAAAATCATTTTAATTATGATTAGAAGTATAAAAACTGTTTTAGCAGGATTCATCATCTGCTGTTGAAACGTTTTCCACTGGAACCCTTAGTTTCTGCAATCCCTAGATATTTACTAATATTAAAGTAACAGATTAAATGAGGCTTACCAGTCCCATCCTAAACACATTTTCTTGCATACAAACACTTTAGTCTATTTTTGTATTTAACCATCTATAAATAAGCAAACTAAGACCCAATCCCATAGGACACACACAAGCCACGTGTACATCAGGTACTCATTTTCAGCACACACTTGATTTGTCAAAAAAAAGTGAGCAGAATAAGCTTCCTAAGCCCTGGTTAGTAGGAAACTGGACTGAGGTAGAGCACAGCAGAACAAGAGATCAGGCCTATGTTATATATTTTTCCTGATGGAGTTGTGAAGGATAGAGTTTGCAAGAAGATGTGGCTGGTGAATGATGCAACTACACTAGAAAAACTACCTGGAGTGGACATAGCTCTAGAGCACGGGCCTACAGGTACAGGTTATTCTGCTGAAATAAGTTATACTGGCAAAAAAAATTATTGTGCCTCTGGTAAAAGTCTTTTCCAGAGGTAGCACAGACTGAGAAAGCCCAACACAAACAGACATGGCCCAAGTTATGTGGTTAACCCTTTAAAGAGAGACTATGACTCACCATCATTCGCACCTAAACTCCTTATCTTTCACAAGATTGTGAAATCATTTGTTTTACCAAATTCTGTCAAATCACTTTATCCCCAGAAAGCTATCTGGAAAACCACGTAGGAAGTGTAACAGGCATGTGTGCTCACAGGCAAGGGAGAAGCCAGCTTCTGTTTTTTTCAGGAAGAGCCAGCTGAAGCCATCAGAGAAAGAAGGGGCAGATTGTTGTCACACCTAGTACACTGGGAGAGCACCACAAAACAAGCCCAAAGACCAACAAGGAGGTGAACTGGCAGAAAAAAAGGCCATTGTGTCACATAGGAATTCCTTTGTAAGCAAGAATATTAAACGGCTGAAAATCGATTCATAATGAATTCAGGAGGCGCTCTCTACATATTTTAACTGCTTGATATTATCTCACTGAAGAGTCACTCCAGGCTCACTAATGTACCTTGTTACACAAGCAAAGCACTCCAGCATTGATTTTTCTCTTGCAGAGGATTATGAATCAACATGATTTAAGTAACTCTATGGCCGAGAGTAATGACCAGCCCCTGAAAGCTTAGCCAAGCACAGGAACTTTCTGGAAAGAGGCAGTTTTGTATCAGTACTTTTAATTACATTTGAAGACATGTATTGCCCATTATTATTTGACCCCTAATTATGTTTTTAAGAGGCACCTCTATTGAAAAACAGTTATATCATGAAGATGTGTGCAGAAGCTTAAACCAAAGCAATTGTTTTTTTTTAATCTCTGCAGCCCTTCCAGGAACCTTTGCTTGAATGAACAGGTCTGCTTTTACAGAAGCAGAGGCCAGAGGGGCTAAGGCATGCACCATCACTCAGGCTTGTGAACCTCACGGGGATGTTGTAGGTACATGTGCTGCAAGGCTCTAAGCTAAAAAGCAAGTAGCTTTACTTGCACCTGGAGGCACTGAAAGGATGCAACTGCAAAGTGGTAGCCGCAAGGTGCAGCAGCCACAGCAGGCTCCGCTCCGCCTGCGCGCTGCATCCCATGGTTTTCCTATCAGTGATGGAGCAGAAGTTGCTCCAAGGCATCCAGCACCTGCCCGTTGTGCAATACTTCTTACTTAGGCAACAGGGGGAACAAACCCTCCCTCCCCAGATCCCCGAGAGTATAAATACAAACCGTAGCTATGGAGCAAGCGTTTAATGCTGGAATCACTAATGAATTTGCTTGGCCTTGCGCTTCCCACTGTGGCAATCAGCAGCTATTTGCTGCCTGAGATGGCTGCCAAATTCAGTGACCTTTTGGACAGCAGAGAGCCAGGCAGGGCCCCCCCGGGGCTGGCAGAGTTTGCAGTTCTCTCTCCAGGATTCCACTTACCTGCCCTAAGCTGAGAAAACCCCGAGTTTCTTCTCTGTTTGTCTTCTCTTTCCTCAAAACTCCCCAGTTGCTGAGCTGTCCAGATGTGCTGATATCATCCAGCAGACCTTGCATAACTTCCCTCTTGAAAAAAAAGAAAAAGAAAAAAGTGCTGCAGTAGCAGTTCCTATGGAAATTTATTATTTTAATAAGATCCTCTGAAGCACTCAAAACCAAACTAACAGCTGTTCAGAGACCAGTTGTTTCCCCTGAATTCATTGAATTTCTGGGTGAGCACGGACATTTGGGATATAAATTTGAACACTTCTAAAACTGAAGCTCAGAAAATATCCAAGCCAGAAACAATATCTTGATGAAGTTGAAAACTGGGTTTAGCATTCAGGTCCCTGTTTTCTTTTCCCTCTGGACAGGGTTTAAAAAAAAAAAAATCAGCAATTTATTGCTCTGTTACTAGTGGCATCAAATAGATTTCGGTGTAACATATGGAACTCTCTTGTGTTAGATTTAGGGCCAAATTGTAGGTGTACACCAAAACTTGCATTAAGAAACTGCACGGCTATATTTTTTTCAGTGCTTCCTGTACAGCCTCTGTAGACTTCACCATGTCACTTCTGACTTAGACCAGCACAGAAGAAAGGGAAACCAGCCCCAGGATGACAGGGATGACTGTGGGTCTATGACAGGAGTCTATAAAGCCCTGCGTGGCAGGAAGGAGGTGTATAACGGTCCTTCATGACAGCAACCAAGGATCATAAAGCAATGACCAGGCAGCAGATTTGAAATGAACCAAAACATGTATTTTCTTCACACCAAACACAAATGAGCCATGGAAATCCATCATGAGATGTTGTGAACGCTAAAGCTCATCTGTTTTCAGAAAACTAGGTAACTCGGTGGAATAGGGATCCATGGACTCAAAAGCACCACCTCAGGCTCAGGAAGCCTTCAAGTCACAGACTCATGGAGGTGTCTCAAGCTATTACTTTCCCTATTTTCATACTGTTTCCTAGGAACCTGCCTTGGGGAGATGCTGGAGGCTTTTGGTCTGGTAGCACAGCAGTCCCTGCGTGCAGAAAGGGAGTGTGGCAGCACGACGTCCTTCCCCTTACAAAAAATCCAGGCCAGAACAGGATGCACAAGGGGGGACTTGAATAGATGCACGAGAGATTTAAAGGGGATGCAGTGTAGCACCTGGGCCCTAGGGGAGGGTGAGCAAGGTGAGACAACCCTTTGGGGCAGGACTCAACCCAAAATCTCATGTGCCTTTTTGGTTTCCCAACTGCTGATTGACACAAACTCTCCAGGATCCCACTGAGGACCCCTATGGAGTTTTAACTTCAATGTACAAGCTTCAAAGACTTGCCAAAATTTCAGGTTTGTTTTTCTTTTGGTTTGGGTTTTTTTTTTTTAAATACAAACAGTGCTCAGGATGATATTTACCACACTTAATTTAACTGTATTTGGTGCAGAGACTGCAGAAGGTTTTTTTCATATGCAGACATCCTTAAGAATTAATTAGGCTATTTCCCCTACTGCCTGGAAAGAGCAAAAAGCATCCTGTCTTAAGACCTTTTTATGAAGGTTTTTCCATGTTGTATGTCATTTTGTTTTTCAATCAGACAAGTCACTGGACAGCATGACAGATGTGAAAAAGCTGTTTCCTTTACATTGTACATTCAGATGGAATTTACTTCCCCATGCATCCCATGTGATTAAGCCCAAAACCTTGGTCTTACAGCAGGTCTGCAGTGTAACTGCCGCAGATCTGTGCCATGTTCCTTCACAGGTATGCAAAGGGGTGTGAGACCTGGCTACTGCTGTTGCTCACATAGAAAGGGACTGTGTGAGAGTGTAATCTGTTCAGAAACTGTGACCCTGGCAGAGTTTTATTTGTAGTAGGAAAGTGGACAAACTTTCTGGGCTGTGTAGGAAAATAACCATGCCCTTGCCAGTCTGGCAGTGGCGTCCTTGTGCAGGGGTGTGGGATGAGCTGCTGAGATAACTCTGCTCCTCTCTGTCCCCTTGGGTGGATGTCCCTGTTTTGGGTTGGATTGGGCACTGCCTTCCTCCTCCTCCACGTTTAGCTCTTGCGCCATCACACACTGAAAACAGAGCTGTGCAGCTGCTGTCCTCACCTTTCCAACCTCCTTTGTGTGCATTCCCTCTCCAAAAAACTTTCCCTAGAGGAGAACGGGAAAAGCTGACAGTGCCCAAAATGCTGCCAGAGTGCCACCCTTTTCTCATCTAGAGCCAAGGAAAAAACCTCAGTATATTTTGCCATCTAGAGGTCAGCCTACCATGAAGTCACTCATTTTTGTATATAGCAATTGTTAGAGATGGGAAAAAAAAGGACTTTTCCAATTCAAATATGCTTAAACCATCTTTCTTGAGAGAAAAACTGAGCATATACTTAAATTTAAAGGCGACTTTAATTCCCAAGGACCTCAGTTAACTATAAGCCTTTCATGAATTTAAGCAAGGCATCACACAATTCTCTGCATTTCCTCCACACACCAGTTTGAAGATGAACTGCAGAAGGAAGCATATTGATCTGTCTTCATAAAGACCTATCCTCAGAAGAATATGTATGGACTAATTATTCCTTTCCTGCACCAGCATGAAATGCTTTTAAAGAGCCTCTTATTTCAGCCACCAATGGCAAGGGAAGCCAAGGAGACAGCAGGTTGCCCATCTTTGGGAAAAAAACACAGCATGTGCTCATCCTCTGGCTGAAGACAGCTGAACCTCCCTGTGGATGTGCCATTAGTTGGGTTGCTTCCTTCAGGACCCCAAAATTATGTGAGCTGAATCAAGGCCTATAAAAGGCATCCTCATGCAGCTTTTAATGGCTATACTTGCAGTGGTTTGAGGAGGTTCTGCATCTCCTCTATACTCCAGGTCCTTAAAATACTTCATCTCTGTTATGTGACCACCTCCACAGCCATCTCCTCCCCAGGGCCCTCTCCAGCTTTCTCCTTTCCTTTCTCTCCCATCCACACCACAGCTATATCTGGCTTCAGTTACCAGCTGTAATTTTCTTTTTGTCAGTTTTTTTTACTTCCTCTTTTAGGACTGCATCACCCTTTGGGTCTGCCAGCTGCGGTGAGGGATGAAGAAGTTCTGAAGGGAACAGAAGTCAGGCATATTCCTTATTATTTATCATAAAAGCTTAAGTTTGGATTTAGCCCTCAAAAACTTTCAAATTGCAAGTCTAACACCCTCATCAAGTAGCACCCTGAAATAAGCATAGCCCCAGGTACAGCCCACTGGGAGGAAGGAGCCAGAACTGCCAGCTAATTGCTCAGTCCACCAGAAAAGCTGCTGCAAGCTCTCAAAACATGTCTGAGGAGAAAAAACAACAAAAGGCAATCTGGTGGGATTGGGAGTTTGGGGGGGTGGGGAAGGAATAGGTTGTTTCAGAAGGATTAAAAGGTCAAAGGACTCAATGTGGAGAAGTCAGCCCAAATCTACCCAAAGCTGTTAGCATGGGATCATCTGAAAAACAAATCCAAGGGCTAATCCTTTATCCTGTTCAGGAGAGCAGTGTATGTCAGAGATGTTCCCCCTCCACCCGCTGGGCATGTCCTGCTTCAGGGATGAACTCTCCTGATGACTCTTCCTCCAGGTGTGACACCACCTCCTCCTTTGTCCCAGGTTTGCTCCCTCCTTAAATGAAAGTACATGGAAACCTGTAGGGGCAAGGAAGAAGCCCAAGGGCAAATTCTTCCTCCCAGTACCAAATACAGGGCACTGTCATTCCTCTCAAGATGAGGTTATAGCAAGCTTCCCAAAACCAATCCTATCTTCCCAAGGAGTCAGGGACCTGTGTTATTCTGGTGTGAAGAGGACATATATGAATGCACTGTGATAGGTGGGAATTAGGGTGTCTCGGCTGTGTCAGGGCTGATTTGGACTTTGCATGGCTCCATGTACTAAATAGTTTGCTTCAAAATAGAGAGTGTGTTCTACTTCCTCGTTGCATAGTGGAAAAGGAGAAGACACAATGAAGAATATGTGCTATGATCATCCCAAGGCTATGAACCTCCCTGGTGGATGTCCCTCACCTCAAAGATGTAAAGAGAAATACCAAGAACCTCTTTCTCCACACATAACGAACTCAGGGTATCTTTCCAATTCCAATCCCTAATATTGCCCTTCCTCATAGTTGAGGACAGGGAACAGCTCTGTACCATCTATAGGCATCCTTTCCACCACAGGTGTTTCCAAGAATTGCTCCTGCCCCACAGACTTTTCACACAGCCCCAGTTAGCCAAATAGGCTGCAGAGCAGGAAAGAAATAGGCACTGACTCCCACTGATGATCCACAAGCCTGCCCATTTCATTTTTCTCTTCCAACACTTCAGTTTGAAGGGTATAAACTTGGTTACATCTCCTTACAGACAACAGTTCTCTACATGACAGGGCTTTTCAGCAGCCTCAAAGCAAAGAAACTGATGGTTTTCTTTGGGATTAGGGGCCTGACCCACAGCGGCTTTAAATGACGGTGTCTCAGTCAAGCTCTGGATGAAGTCTGTACGTGGGGTCCGGATGAGCTGCAGAAGTGTCTGTTCCTAGGGAGGGGGGAATCCCTCTAGTTCTAGCTGTGGCTCCTTTGCCGAAAGCAAACACACTTTTCTAGCAACGCTTCGGCAAAAAGGGCTCAGCAGGGCTGCCTGCTTTGCTCCCTCTGCCACCCCGGGAAGGGCAGGGTGGGTGATGTGAGCGTTGGCACCGCTGGCTGGCCAAACCCCAGCCGGAGGCTGCTGCTCCCCAGCTCCAGGCATCAAACTTTGGAGCCAGGCACCACCTAGAGGCATGCGGGCTGCGGCAAGGCTGGCCGAGATAAGCGCGGCCGGGCTCCGGCTCTTTTTCGGCCACAATAACAAATGCCGTACCGTGCCTATCAGAAACTAAAAGCCTCAGCGTCCCCGCTTTCCTGTTCCGTGTTTTATCAAAACAAGTTGATTAGTTCGAACAATAAAGGCAAACCTGGAAGCCCTCTGAGGGAGCCAAGCTGCGGTCAGAGGGAGCGGGAGGGGAAATTCAGCCAACGGCAAAAAGAGCCCGGTGGGACTCTTTAATTGGGGTATCTCCATAATCCAGGCAAGATGTGCCCAGTTTACTAGTAACTTGTTTTAAGCTTTTTCTTATGAAGGTCCCAGCCTCAATTTTTAGCTATTAAACAAATGCAGATTTTTGCAATTGCATGTTGTCATCATCCACAACATGACAGCTTTTTAGCCTGGAGTAGCTGAGCAGCTTCTCTGGGCCAGAACAGACCAGGATCATAGAAGTACTGTGAGAAAAAGTTATTTACATGCAAGTAAGTTCCTTTGGGACCCTGATGGTGAGCTGAGGTATTGATTCCCTGCTCTGAACTCTCTGAGCTCCTCTCTTTGCATTCAGATCTCCTGGACCTGCTGAACAAGTTCCTTCAAAAAACAGATCCATACGCTTTAACTTTTATACCTCTACATTTTCTTCTTTCCGGGTTAGCCTTTTCCTTCCTGCAATCTCTGTTTCCACTATAAACCTGTTGCTGGGTTCTCCCAAATGAGAACTTAAAAAATAATTGCTATGAAGGCAGAGTTGGTTTTGTTTGTTTTATGCCATAGGGTATGTGTCACGAAGTTTATTGCCTCACTGAAATCTGTGAGGCAAAAAAAAAAAATAAAAAAAATTCCCTGAAGCCCCTTGGACAAAGATTAAACCTTCCAAAAAACAGACAAATGCCTTCTGCTGAATCAAGCTCCTGAGCTTTGGATTTTATATGCCAGGGGCACACTCCACAAGAGGCAGGTGACCAGAGCAGGGTGACCGTATGCACCTGTGAGCCCAGAAACATAAACTTCCTTAGTAACAGTAACTCTAGAGATGTTTGAAATACTTCTGTAGCCTGTGCTCTGCCATGTAGTGGCACCCCATGAGAGGAGACACATCCGACCCTCATTCTGCAAGCACTTGAGCATGTGCTTAAAGCTATTTTTGAAGTCAATGGAACTGGTCACACCGTTAACACCACTGCACACAGGTTACATGGTTCAAATGAGCTCAGCAGCAGGGATCTCACAATTTCAGTAGCTGCATGGATCTTCTGTTGAAACTGTCTCTTTTAAATGGCCCCCCAAAAATTCATTTTTCTTCTTTGTGCCCTGCTTTAGGCTTGACTCCCTGCGATTTTCAACTTTCGTGCCTCTTTCATGGTTCATGCTGCTCCAGGACTAAGTTAAATGTCAATGTTACATTGCATAGAAGATGCAACATTTTGTAGCTCCTTCATTGCTTAGCTGTATTTCTCGTGCAGTGGGCCAACATGACCGCTTCAGGACTCTGAACTCTCAAATCACCTTTGAGAAAACCATGCCCTTGGCGATAAGCCCAAAGAAAAGGGGCTGGGCCGGGGGGGAGGCACAGAAAGAGGCATTTTATTTTAAGGAAGAGAAATTTAGATGGCAGGCAACTAATCAGCACCTCCTTTTGCTACAGTGTACTTTGCTGCAAGGGAAGGGACGGCAGGTTCCCTACCTGGGAGCTGCAGGAGGAGGTTGGGAGAGGCAGCCCTGGCTCCCAGGGCCCTGCTCACCGCCCTGCACCACTCTCCTCTTTTGGGGAGGCCTCGCACCGCGGCCCTTTACAGGAAGGGAGTTCTCTGCCCTCCCAGCAGCAGCTTTGGAGATGGGCAATGCTGGCCCCGGTTGCTTATTTCCCAGAATTTCTCATAGCACAATGTCAGTTGCAAGGTCCAAAAGCCAGCCAATTTACTCCACCTGAGTTTCCACTAGTTTATTTTCCACAGATCCCAGGCGCCCACGGTGGCGCACACACACACACTGAGCAAGCTCTCAGCTGAAGATGATTGTTTCCAGTAAATACCAATGTTGGAAATCCCACCTTCTCATTGTACAGAATATCCTAGACAACCCCAGACAAACTGCAAGGAAAACAGGATGCTATTTTCATTCAAGTATCATAACTGATATTTATGGGGAGAGAAGTGACAGAATGGAAAAACCGTGCGTAGTAACTGCAGCAAAAGGTAGGTGCCCTTTGGTACCCTGCCTCCTCCTTTTCTTATAACAAGGGCAGTGGAAGAAAATGAAACAGGCATATTCTAATTAATGGACACTGTAATTTCTCTAAAAAAAGGAAGTGGGGATTTCTGGCTTACCTAATCCCGAAACAGTTTCCTGTGAAGATAAGTGGTCTGTGAGAGGGTCACTCTGCCTGGTGGCTTCTGACTTCCACTTTGCCAGGGAAGCAAGCAAGCTGGAAATAAATAGAAAAAGCTTTGAGCAAGTATCAGCAAAGGAAGCACAGCGGTTTACTTCTTTTTTCCATCATGCAAAATGAAACATTTTCAAATTTAGTGCCAGCTCTTCTTCTGGGAAAAGTTACAGTTCCGATCACCAGTGGCTGGGGAAAGGTTAAAAAATTTGATGTCAGGAGAAAAGCCTGTTGAAAAATGAGGCCTTTGAATCATGGATCTTGTGTTTGGCTTTGATATTCTCTTAATTAAGTTCTGTTGTTCTAGAGGAAAGTGTGATTTTAAAGCCATTTTAAAAAATAGGAAAAAAACTATATGGATAACTTACTGCTGAAATGTTCTGAAAACAAAGTGCTAAACTTTGCTTCAGTCAGGTTTGAAGCCTCCTTACTATTCTGCCCTCCTAAACTAAAATCAAACTGGTTCTGCTTGGTTTCAGTTGGTGTGAAACTAGCTTAGCTTTTCAGAAAGAGTCTTTTCAGGGAAAAAAAGAAATACATTTGCAAGAATTTGAGGAAAGCCAGTCTGCTCTGTCAGCTGATGGCTAGAACTCTACACTGTGATATATGCAGTTCCTATTTTCTCAAGACTCATCCTAAACCCAGCCTAAGAAACAGATGTTCCTGGCTGTGTCTGTTGAAATTGAAATCAATACTACAGTTTTACAGCATAATCCTGTTAGGAAAGGTGGAATATGTTTGTCTTTAAATAAGAAGAAGATGCCATTAAAAACTGTGAAGCGATGACAAATGTTGGGGAAAATGACAGTAGGGAGCAATTCTTAAGAAAATAGCTGCTCACTTGCAGTTACACCAATAGTAACAGGATAACTACAACTCAGAGTCGGATCATCTGAACAGGATTAGTCAAAGGACAAACGGTTTCTTGCATGTACAGTACCAGTAGAAAAGGTGGAAAAAGTCTTCATCATCCATGAACTATTTTTGTCAAAGCACGGCCCTGTGTTTGCTCTGTACTGTGCTATGCCAGCCCATCGGAGCAAAGGTCCCGTGTGATGACACCTTTCCTACCAAGGCTTCTACCACTTCACCTGAACACCTATAACTACAATGCTGAACACATACAAGAAAGTAAGGAATTTGCATTGCCTTTTCTTTTTCCCTAGCAAGTAAACCTGCTTGGAATAGCAAGGACAGAAAGGTCTGGCTGCAGGCATTAAGCCTGCAGAGGAGTTCCCAGTAGCACCAACTCAGGTTCTGCTCAGCAGCCCAAATGGAAACGGCTGGTGAAAAATTCCTAACAGACATGCCTCAAGGATGCTTACTGAAAGCAGCCAGAAAAGCTGGCATCATTCCTATATGCTATGTCATATATGGCAAATGTCAACATACAGCCCTGCTAGGCATCTTGGTTTTTTAGCTGCTCACAGGAACCTGGAGTTACATATAGCCCCTTCCCTTCCAGAGGTTTCTCACCCCCTAGTATTCCCCAGGCTCACTTTTGCAACTGAATGACGTAAGGTGATCTCAGCTCAGTGCCAGGGCACCGGTTCTCAAGCTGCTGTTCCTCTTTTCCTGGCCCTGGCAGGTAATGAAATCTCCTTCTTGTCACTGTCACCAGTGAGTAATTGCCATAACAACCCCTGGATCTGTGTGGTCCATATTTTACCTCAGACAAAGAGTAAATACTTTAATGCATATATGTCACTTGAAAAATAAGAGGGTGTCTGTTATTGTTCCTTTAAAAATAAGGAGAGCTTCCGCATTTTATTTTATTCTGCTTATTGTAGTTTATCTAGAGCTTCTATCCTCTGACAGCTTTTGGTGTAACTTGCTCAAGCTGAGACTGGGGGCAAGAAACAGCTGGACTGTGTTTAATGCAATGATTCTCAGAAAGCTGCTTTCTCCTGGGAGAAACAAGGGCAGATAAAGACTAGGAACTTCAGCTGGAGAGAGGCTGTCAGCATCCCTTTTACAGGCAAAGTATAGCCCGATCAAAAAAAACCCAGACAGCCACAAGTTTCTGCCCAAATGGGCAATTGGTAGATCGAGGCTACTTTCCTACCCATCTTCCAGGCAGTGATGCACAGAAGCGTAGTGCCAATGGATTTGGGAGCAAAGCAAGTAGCTGGAACAAGTAACCAAATTAAAACAAACCCATACCTATGGCTCAGGCTGCATCTACACCTGTGCTGTTTCCAAGCACAGGGTCATTTCTCTCACAAAGAAAACAGTGGAACCAGCAAGCCCACTCATCCACCCCAGTCTCAAAACGGAGGTAGCAAAACAGTCCCAAGAGAGGGCTAGATGTGGTAGTGAAAGGGCTGTGTCATAAAGAAAGTTCAACACCGTTCTTGGAACAATGAGGTTGCTAATCACCTTCACTTCAGCAAGGCTTTTATGCACTCAGGAAAGGGTAGAGCCAGCTAACTCTCAGAAATCTACTAACTTGAGTCTTTGGAGACAGACTTGTTCGAAGGTGGAGCAAACCACGTGATAGGTGAAAAAAACAAGCACGATAAGTCAATTAAATTCATTACCTCAAAGAAGCATCTCTGAGCAAGCTGCATGAAATGAAGATCTCACAAGCACCTTTCTGAGAAAAGCAACCTCAAATACAAGAGATGGACAAATCAAAACAGCTAAAATGCCGGTTTTGGTAAGCAAAACTGTGTATTGGAGAGGGCTGGTAGTGTGGCAGGCAGGATACAGGATGCAGGTTTGAGGAACTCAGCTAATTTCTCTACTCCCCTAGTAATTTTTCATGAGACCCCGGGCAAGCCACTGACTGGGATTCATCCCCAGCTAACTCTAGCCATTAAGAGAAGGATAATGCCTAAATTTAGGACTGTCAGCACCTTAGGCCCTTTCCCACAGTCTAGAGGACAACTCCAACACCAGGTGAGCTAAGATGTTCATCTCATTCAGAAACCGTAGCAGAGTATCTGCTGTTAGACAGGATGAGTACTGGCCTCCTTGCTTCAATTCCCAACCCTGGGCACGGGGGTGGCAACACTGATTCTTTGCCAAGATTACAGGAAAGTGCCATTTATTAATGAACAGGAACACGCTGTCAATAGGAGCAAGCTGATCAGTCAGAGAGCTGTGCACTGCTCGCTCTTTGTGATTTGCTTCAGAAGATTTTCTAATTGAATGCTTTGGGTTTGACTTCCTCGCAAGCCAGACTTGCCAAGAAATAAGTAAACAAACCTGATAAAGCACATTTTCCACTAACTGTTATTTGCAAAATAAGTATTCTGTCATATGCTGCTGTATTTGTAAAAGAGGTTGTATATGGAATCAGATCTGGTTTTCTACAAGTGACAGTTTCTATTCTGCATTTTGCTTTTCTTCACTAAATCCTTCTGTTGCAGTGTTTGCACTGATCTCTTGTATTTATTGATGATAATCCTTCTTATAGTTAAACTCTTGCTTATGTAACCCATTCTCAAGAGGCTGATTATTGACACATGTAACCTTTTACCATCTTTTCACACTTCTAAAAGACGTAATTCATACTGCTTGCATTTTGAAGTTGACTGATGGAATGGAGCTGAAGACCATGCAGAAATACCTATTTTTTTTCCCAAACTAACTTAGACTCCAAGCATAGCTATGAGAATACATGCCAGTCCCATGGGGTCAGACTATCCGGCCCAGCAGTTTGTGTCTGACATGGTTTGATGGTAGATGTGTCTGCAAGAGCACAGGGATAAGACATAGGGTTCCTTCCCCAGAATATTTCCCCAGGCTTTGGCAATTTGGGATTTTTCTGGGCCAGAAGTGAGGTCTTTGCCTTATAGCTTCTACCAGTTTCTCATCAGTGACATGACAGAAATCTCAGGTGAATTAAAAAATTAAATCTACCACAGTAGAAATGGTTTATAACGCCAATGGGCAAGGGATTGAAATCCTTTGGGGCCTCTGCGTGCAGGATCCTGAGCTACCGCAGCAGAAATAACCACCCACCTGAGCTTGCAGGTGAGGATGCCACCTTGGCACCACGCAGGGCATGTCCTCAGCAGTATGGGTCACCCCTGTCACTCACGCAAGGCCTGGGAGAGAGGGCTCTGGTCACCCACAGAGCTTAATCTTTTGCCTTGCTCCTGATACTCCGCTTGCTGCTCCTGCCTAAGAGCAATTGCAGAGTAAAAGATGGAAACAGGAGGAGCTGCTACAGCTGCTGGGAGGGGGGAGATGGCCAAGCACCCCCAGCACCTCTGTGACTCACTTCAATGGGAAGTGGACACCCTTTCTGCCATGACATCCAGAGACGGGTGGTAAAAGTAGGGGGGAAATTCCTGTTAACTGTCATCTAAGAGTTACATGGATTCTTTATCCCCAGATTATTTAAACCTTTTCTCTTTTCCCACCTGATGTTTCCCCTCATCTAAAAATTGGCTTGGCTTCCCGTGAAACATTTCCCTGACACTTCCAGTTCTTTGTTGTGGAAAGCACAAGCGGGAGGAAGGTTTCATAACGGTACCTCTGAAACCTGAATCCTTGCAAATTGTCCTTCTTGTGTTTCTGGTAACAACAATTTTAGCCCTGGGAGAAACTGTGACCTTTGCTCAGTAAAGTTGATTTTCTCCTCTGTTTGAGCTCTAAGCTGCTTTTGATTTCTGGATTTTAAATGGTATCTAGTCATCGCCACCTGGTGCCAAGAAATGCACGGTCTGGAAGAGTTTACCTTTCTCATCTGATGATGGCTCCTCTGTACCAAGCACCATAGAGCTGCCACCTTCCTCCCCAGTTAAACAGAGTTTTCTATTCGGTGTGAATTCTGGAAGGAAAATGACCATTGATGGGACTGAGGTGGGGAGAGGATCCATCCACATGCTGCAAACAGTGGGGCTGAGGTTGCTGGATTAGTGGCTGACCCTCCTCCCCTCCTCTCCTCAGCACTTTTAAGAGATCACAAGTGCACTCTGAGAGAGGCACCCATGTCCTTTCATAAACCTGGCTGGATATGGGGAGAAATGAAGAAAGTTTATTCTCCAGAAATTATGCTTCTGCCCAGTGACCCTGACATCTGTAAAGGGAACTAGATACATTGTAGGCTGGGTAGTGAGAGATGAGAAAAAGGTCACTTCCAAGAACCATAAATTCGTTAGCTCTTTAATTTGCATGTTATATAAACCAAGAGGGGGAATCTACTCCCTCCTCTTGTGTAAGAAGGGGGACCCTAAGAGGAAAGTGAGATGCAAGAAGGGCAGTGAGTGAGGTAAAGGGACTAGTTATGCAACTTTCACTTAATTAAGAATTGTGTTTCAAATCTGCAGCAAACAGCATGTTGCTCCCCTTGTTCCCTGGACAGAAAGGCATAGTTTTACAATCTCCTTTTATTGTTTTGCTGATAAGCAGGCATTTCACATTTCTGACACTATACAAAATGTCCTTTAGAAAAGTCAGTCGGTGCCATGGCCTTTTCCAGCTGGAACATTAAAACCAGTGCCTGGCTGGCCAGCTAAGTTTTCATCCCATAACACAAGTGTCTCAGCTTGACCAAGGTAGCATAGCTAGAAAGGGGAAAAGCCTGCTGCAGGGGCAGTCAGCTTCAACTCCTGCTGCCACTCTCACCCAAACGGGTGGCAGTTGGAACACAGCACAAACTCCCCAGCCTTGGGGCAGCCACCGGGACGACTTGTTGAGTACATGACTTTGTACGATCGCAGATGACTTTGTATTTCCATTCTGCACACACTGACTGCTAGCCAAAGTTTAGTCCTGTTCTGCTTGTTTTGTAAGACCCCTACTGTGACCTATACTGTTACAAGCTCCTACTATAAACAGCTATAGAGTGAGCGACTCTTCCTTCTTTGGCGAAGCTCCCAAAGGGTACTTCTGTGTGGCACAGACCTGCTCGGTGCCTCCCAGTGTCCAAAGAAGGATCAGGGGGTTACCCCTTCCTGGGGAAACCCACCTCCTGGCCAGGCAACCCCTGCAGCCTGAAATGATCTGCCTGTGCCACTGGTAACTGAACATAAATTTGTTTTTGCAGTACTAGAACAGCAACAGGAATAGCTTGATTCTGATTAGTTTCAAGACCTGAAAGTAGAGCTACCAGAAATCGCTGAATCAGAGGATATGGATCTCTGACAACAATAATATTTATGAATCCTTACCAAAAATTGCTGAAGATGTTTTTGTTTTTTTAAAAAAAATATAAAATAGCGCCTTCAGAGGTCCCTGCGATATGCTTGCGCTTTGTTACTCAAAGGAAACATGCATGCCATTTTTGCCAGCTAACAAAATACTTTCTAACAAGGCATTTTGACAAAGCTGAAAATATCTTACACCGATGTGAGTCATTTTGGCACCAAGTGCACAAGTTAGAAAAAGGAATCTCAAAAAAAATAATCTTTTTTAAGTTAAGTGCTGGTATGAAATACAGTCTTTAAGTGACAGGCCTAGAAAGGCTACGTATATTTGTATTCTACACAGAAATAAGTATCTTTCAGCCCACACACTGCTTTATGTTTTTTCTTTCTTTTAAAAAAAAAAAAAGACCAAGAAGCGAAAAAAAAAGAAAAAATCACCTAATTTCTTTCCCAACTTTTGGATACTGATGAAGTTCATTACTTCACTGGGCTACAATTACTTTTTATATGTAGCTAGGTGACCTCTGCTGGTAGATTCTTATCATAACTGCAATAATTCACACACACAGGTACAGATACATTGGTATTCTGTTAAGTGCTGCCCTACATACACAGGAAAATACAATCCCTGCTCTGAAAAATAAACTCCCACGCTGGAAAGGTGTAAAAAAACAAAACAAACCCCAGCTTTCTCCACTCCCAGATGTTTTACAGGGCAGTTTCTAGAGAACCTTTGCTAACAAGGTATGATCATCTTAGGCTGGGGCCACTGGTGTTTATTCAGCATAATGGTCTACATGTTCCCTTTTGCTTGGAAAGCCCCTAAACTTCATCCTACTAGAAGCAGGGAGGTTATACTGAGGAAAGGATTAGTCTCCGCTTGCATTCCTTTCTTGTACTCTCTCTCATACAATCTGCTAACAGCCATTGTGGGAGAAAGGATACCAGCTAAATGGACCTTTATTCTGACTCAGCACGCTTGTAGACAGCCTGTCCGCTATGATACAGTGGCACAGTATAATTTGATACTTTAAAAAAAACGGCCATTCACCTGCGAGATCACAATGCAACTTGCAGTTAACAGCCCTGGTCTTTGTGATATCCAAGGTCATTTCTATTATTACAGCACAGTGCACGGAAATACCACAAATACCAAGAGAGTCTTATCTATTTATCATAGGTGAAATTGGCACGCTTTGCAGCACAACGGCTCCACGTCGGATCACAGGCATTCAAGTTCATTTCAGTTTATATTCAGAGGCTGCCTTTCTCAGTTAGGAGCTCTAGTGGATTTCTTGAACGTATATATTTACGATGTGATTGCAGCGGCCATTTCTCAAGTGTCCAGCTTCCACACTGACAGCTACCACGTCTCAGCACAAGGCAGTAAACATAAACACGGCAGAGAAACAACTCACCCTGACCTTGCCAGAGGTACCCACAGCAGCCAAAGGCAAAGGCTTAGGCACAGGTTTTCCCTTCTCCCGACCACACAGCCCCAGCGTTACACACCTGCTGCTCCTTCCACGGCCCGGACCCCAAAACACACTCTGTGGCACGACGTCCTGTTTGAAACGAAGGAGAAAGGGGATTACACCCACACTCCTCACCGCAAACGCAACCCTTTGAGACCCCTTCAGAGCCCACCCCCCGGAGCCTGCAGAGAGAGGGCGGGGGGGGGTCGGGCCTACCAGGCCGCGCTCGGCCCCGCCGCCCCCCAGCCACCCCCTCGGGCGCTGCCCGTGTGGCCCCGACCCTCCGGCCGTCTCAGCGGCTGGGGAAGGCCCGGAGGGCACGCTGGCAGGGTCCTTACCCCGGGGCGGCGGCAGGAACAGCAGGCCGAGGCCGAGCCCGGACCCCCGGCCCCACCGACCGCAGCCGTGCCTGAGGGGCAGCTGCGACACCTGCACCGCGGGCGGCACCGCGCCTGCCTCCGCCGCCCGACCCGTCCCGTCCCGCCTCGCTCGTGTTAATAACAGCAACACCGACGCTGACATTAATCGCCATAATTACTGTTGTTATGGCGAGGCCGGTGCTGCCCCGCCGGCGCAGGCAGGGCGGCCGCACGGCTCCCTCAGGTGCGAGGCGCGGGGCGGG